GAAAATGAAACAAATTTAAAAGTTTAACAGATGAATTAAGGAAGCTGGGAGTATAATTTATTTTATTTTATCAGGGGAATACTGTGGTGGTTTATGAAGTTGAAGACGAAAGAAAGATCATATACTGAAAAAATTGCATGATAAGTACAGAAAGCAGAATGAATATTAGAAGATGATACAGGACAAACTTAGGATACTTAGTGGGAGAATAAAGAGATACTTTAAGTAGAGACACCTTGATATCTCTGGAGGATCCATTAAACAACAACAAGCAGACTGAAGGGTGAAGTTTCAAGAAGGCAGCAGTTGAGCAACACATAAAGAAGGAAATCTTTACTAGTAGACTTACAAGCAAAAAAGGAGAATGTTTTCCAAACTTTATAATAATATAAGAAACACATATTTATAATAAAGGTCATTATCTGCTCTCTAATAAAAATTAGATGATGTTTTCTCTGCTTTTGATCATTCAAAAACCACAGGGTTTGAAATTTGAAATTAAAAAAATAGATTTAATGAGGAGAAAATAATATATATTAGTTTAAATATCTATATGCTGCTTTTCTGTCATAAGCTCAAAGTAATAAAAGATTTAACAGGAATATATGTGTACTTGGTGCATTGGCTGGGAAGCAAAAATATTTACCTTTTTAGGCCTTTCTTTACTAAATTGTTAGAAATTACACTGAGAGAAATCATTTAGGGAGTTGATCATAATGGGATCATTAATAATAAATTAGATATTTGAACCATTCTCCAACAGAAGCAGTATTATCTGAGTATTTAAAAAACAAGATTAATATTACATGTTGTGTGGTGTTAATTTCCTACAGAATGAGTTTATACCTTTTTTCCTCAGGACATCACAGTTTTTCTAGAACTGATTTTTTTTCCTGTAGTCCCATGCTTTGATGTCTTTAGTTAACAGATCTACAGTTGACAGTTCCCCCTATAAAGATCATTACCTGACGATCTTAGAGTTAAGATTAGAATCAGGTGAGTTAGGGTTCCAGTGGAAACTTAATTTTTCCCTCGAAGAACAAGTAGTTAAAGAAAAGTGTCAGGCTTGGTCAAAGAGAAGTGTAAGGCTTTGTTAAAATAATAATTTGAGGTAAATTTAACATTGGATTTGAGTAACCTAACAAAAGAAAACCAACTGTAGTACTGTGGGGGGGAGAATAAACCTTATCCTAAAGCCTGGGAGCATAAATAAGTCTTTACCCAACACCATAAAGACATCAAATCCACTAAAGGCAAGCATACAAGGTGTTAGATAGTGGGTTCAAGAGGCTGTCATGAGTTCAGCATAACTCTTTATTCAGTAACAGAAGTACAACACACGTGTGCAAGCCGCAACCATATACACAAAGCCAACCCCAAAACACACCCACACTATACAAATACACCAATGGGAAAATTGGATCCCTTACTTGTATAGTGTCATTTAAGCTGATGTTACCTGATTGGCCAGCTCAACAAGGGCGGCCAATTCGAATGTAGCTGCAAGAAGCCTCTCAAACAATGGATGTTTGCTTGAAGCTTGCAATACACAGCACCAGGGGAGGGAATTTCAAAGATAGGGTGCTACAACTAACAACATACATATTACAGTTTGTAATATGTAGGATCAGGGTTCCCCTAATCTGACTTCAATGATGTCAGGAGTGTGGAACTTGTTTTTCAAACACACAGAGCCCCAATTCGGATTGGGACTGTGGCATGGGAGGAGAAGGAGCGTCAGCCTCCCCCCAGCATACTATTTTCCCAACCTGAAATAGCACCAAGGGGAGCTGTACCAATGGGCTATATGTGCAGACCTCCAATGTGTAAGTAGCTTCCCAGAGATGTTCCAGCTTGGGAAACAGTGCAGCTGGAAGGCTGAAGCCTCTCCCCTGGTATCATGGTCCAATCTGAATCAGAGTCCAGAATACTTGGAAAATAAGTCCCCCAACTCTTGACGTCTAACTGTTGCCATTAAAGTCAAGTTTGGGGGAACACGGAACCTACATATTACAAAGCAAGATGTGTGATTCGGACCTCATATTATGATCTTAAAGGATAGGCAGGAACATATGAAAAATGTGGATTCCTTAGATAACCTGGTCCCAAGCCATTTAGGAGTTTAAGGATGACAACCAGCACTTTCAACTGTGTCTGGAAACGTATAGAAAGTTAGTGAAGTTGTTATCACCCCAGTGAGATAGGATTGTTATAACTGGAACTAGTCAGCAACCACCTGACAATTCGAAACTATCTTCAAAGGCTGCCCCACAACAGATGTGGTATCCCCTATTCCATGTATACCCCTCTCCATAGAATACATATACACCTCTCTATACTTAGAAAAAACAAGCCTGAATTACATACACGAAGCCATGTTGTCTATTTTAGCGTACGTATGGCTAGAAAGCCAATTTCATAAGATCAAAATTGGCATCTTAATATAAATAGTGAACAAATGTAGATGACAGAACCCTGATATGACAGTTTTCCCCCCTTGCAATAAACAAATCAGACTAAGGGGGATTTTGAATGAAGTGTGTGATTTACTATTTCCCAGGTTGCCATTTCTACAGTCCATATAGCTTCCTTCTTCCTCAGAGCTCAAAAGACATATATTTTGAACTCTTTTGAGGGTGAGGCTTTGTAACAGCAAAACAGCAGGTGGAAGAAAAGTTAAGCCCCAGCTTCTTTCAATTCTGTACTTAAAATCTGCCCCCACAAACTGCTTTTCTAACCCCCCACCTCCAACAACAAATAGTGCTGGGGCTTGGTTACATGTGTTTGCACATAATGTAATACTGGCTCCTTAATTACTATAATACAAAGCTTTAAGCCCTGTTTACCAGAAGGATGATTATTTCTGCAAGGCTGAACACACATTAAATTATGGATGTGAGGTGATCTTTTTGGCAGACTGTACAGGTTGTACCTTAATTAAATGGGAACAAATATTAACAGCCTTCTGGCCTTTTCCTCAGCTAAGGAATGAATAAACATGCTAAATTAGCTCCTCGTGTTACTGTCACCTGATTTTAAAGGATAGCTGTTATTTTTTAAAAATCAGTATAGGAAACACTTCTTTCTCCATGTTTATCCACCGGGAGACTAGAAGATGACCAGCCGATACACAATTCAGGAATCCACTTTTCTGTTCAGGTTTCTTCAGTTCAAATTTTTTTAGACCTGCAAACGGCTGTAATCTCTCAAATCCAGCAATCCCATCCCGTTAACTGAATCTTCCAAAACATTTTGCCAGAACATTCCACTGTTCTCTCTGTTAACACTCAAATTTAGATATAACTTTAATTCCTTATGCTAAAGAAACACAGTATATAATAACAAAATGGTGTATGTATCCGAAAAGACTTTTCTTGTCTGCAGTATCTCTATCTTTTTTTTAATTTTCACAACCCAAGGAGAGACATATTCTTGCCATTCCCTCATGAGTTATTCCCAGTGAGCAAATTTTCAATTAACTAATGTCAGGCCAAAGTCCATCTCTACAGTAGATGAGTTCTTTTCATTGGGGAGACTTTACAAATTAACACTGAGCAATTATTACCTAGGCTATTATTGGAACACCCTGTCAAGCAACAGGAAGCATCAAGAGACACAGATTTCCCTAGGTTCTTCCCAAAGGGTAACTGAAAATGATGAGAACGGAAAATTACTTCCAAAGAGACATGAAGGAGAAGAGGAAGAAAAGTTAACGCTTGCTGAATGGATAGAAGAATCGGAGTATTTAAAGGCTGCAAAAAGGCATTGACAGAATATCTAAATGGGCAGCATACTCAGAAAATTCTGAGCAAATTAAAATAGGAATTCAAAACAGCAGACAGATGAGGGAGGTAGAAGGAGAGAAGGTCAAGAAATTGGTGAACAACAGGGTATAATTTCAGACTGATGCTTACGTAGACAAATTGTCCATGGGACTAAAGTTGGAGGCCTTCCTTTAGGTTACAGATATTTCTTCCTAAAGTATCCTCTTAGACCACCTTCTTAGGACAAGGGCAGCTCCAGTCTCTGATCATTCTTCTTCCTCTGTCCCAGCCATCATTCTCCTCATCCAAAATTTAATTGCTCCTGCTCAACTCTATCATAAGATCTAAATCGCTGCTTCAAAGAAATGCTGGTACTGATCATGCTCAAAGGAAAGTATGGGTGACAGTTGGAAACTAATATATATAGGACACATAGAGAATCCCACTTACACTCACCAAGATGTGTTAACTGTTCATCACTGTGACACAGAAATTCCTGCAATATTCCAGGGAGTACAAGGTAAAAGGTCTGATTAAGGGACTTAAAGCTGTGACATAGCTGCTGGATCCATATGGGCTGGTCTTCATGTTAAATCAATTACATGTGTAGCTGGGAACAACATGGGATCAATGCTCCCTCTAAGCTGTGGAGTCTTGTGAGCAAAAATTCTACTTTGTGAACTACTGGCATTAAAGTTGTGAGCAAGCAATTTGACTACTGCATAAAATAGTTTGTTCTGGAGCCATCCTTTCTGAGCTAATACAAAAATTTGTGAGCTATACACTAAAAAACTGGGTGGAACATATGGCCAGTATTCACACCAGTGCTACCAGCTACCAAAAGAATGACGCATTGGTATGGGAATTCATCATGTGTCTCACATGTTCCACATGATGCCTATTTACAAATATTTTTACTTCAATCTTGGCCATTCATAAATTATAATCATGATAACAGTCTTATTCCACATGAAATTTTTGAGCACTGGTGGTGAAGAATTTCAGATCCAATATTTACACTTGTCAGCATTTTTATATAAAACAAATAGGTTAACTGAGAATACAAAAATCAATTAATGTTGAAACTTGTTTTTTATGGCTCTACTGTGGTTTGACGCTGGAAATCTACTTAACGAATCCAAAGTCTTGATAAACTTTTTAGCAAAATATGCATGTTAAGATTAAAAAGTGTGACCCTCAGCTGAATGTTTGTATGTCCAGAATTACATACTGTACCTTTGGTGTCTTCATCTTCAATGGTAGTGTTTGTGCTCTCTGATGATTCCTGAACAAAGAATGGACAGGAGAGAAGCAAAATAAGTCCCCACCCTTTTTTCAGAAAGTCCATTTGGTCACCTGTCACCCAGTTCCACCCCAACAGCACCAAACACTGCAAAGGGACAAAAACAAGGTAAGCATCAGATTTAAAAAACAACAACACTAATCATTAACACTAATCAGTAACAACAATTCTTGCTTTGTACCTATAATACTTGCCTCAACTTTTAGATCATGAATAATAAGTACATCTAACTGTGAAGAATCTTGTAGAAATGGATTCATCTTTCTTCCATTAGCCTACTACAGTGCTGTACAAAATAGATCCAACAGGAGTGGGGCTTGAAGTCTCTTACCATTATAACTAAAGGGGCAAGAAGGGCTGTGTAGGAGTGAAAGACACCATGTTGACTGTACAATCAGGAGAGGAATGTACAAATTAACAAAGAGGGAGCTAGGATGAGAGAGTGAGGGGGGTTGTGCAGGAGTGAAGGAGACTACATTGACCGCATAGTAAAGAAAGAAATATACAATACAACAAAGAGGGCTTCCAAGACCCACATGGACCACCAAAGGCTGACACACACCTCCTTCCATAAATAGCCAACTGGTACACAAATTAATGCAGAGAAAGCAATCCATTAATTCTCCAAGTTTCTCATCAAGACAACTCTACTAGCTGAACGAGATTCAATGCCTCTATATTCATCCCACCAGAAGGTTATTTTACATGTTACCCACAATCACAAGTGGCAGGTTGACCAAGGCCGTCAGCTGTTTGGTCTCCTGTGACTGTATAGTTCCAGCAGAGCCATATAAGATGGCATTTTCTTTCATGGTTCCTTGGACTGATGCAGCTTGCAGACCTGCTAAAGGAGAAGTTCCATGGAGAACCTTTCACTAGAAACTGGAATTAGGTTCTCAGTGCTTTTGGGCTTCAACGATCATTCTGCACCAGCCATCCCTGTTCATAGGATCTGTAGGGGAGACACTATTCAGAAAGTGTTACCTCCAACCCTACTTTCCATCACTCAGAAGTAACTCCCAAAAACAGGGAAGGCTGGAACATGTTGAGAGGCCCAACATTATCAGCATTGAGGAAGACAAAGGACACTCACCATTAACTGAACGCTGGAACTGGACTTTCTTTTCTGGAAAAACAAGGAGAAGAGATGGGACAAGAAGAGACACAGAGTGAGAAAGAAGGAAGAGAGCAGAACATGGGATGTAGGGGGTCCTGATCCTTCTAGAGAGATGAAGAATTTGTGGATCAATCTGATCCTTAACACAAGAGTTTTGTGTCTGGAGCTCAGGAAAACCAGCCAGAGTGCAAACTGATCTGTGCTGATCTAACTTTCACACTCAACTGACAATTCCATCAGGCTTGCCCTTGCTACAGTTTCTGCTGTTTTTACTTTGAACCCATTCACCCCTGCATTTTATGTCTTTCTGAATCTTGTCATCTTGACACTGCACAGAGCTCAACTTGTACAATTAATTTCTAATCCTGTAATTTTCTAATTCCGGCCAAGCCTCATTATAGCTAAATTTCTAAAACTCATCATAGCACAGACTTCTAAACTGGTAATTATGCTTTGAGATCTGATTAAATATACACCAGGGCTTAGATCTCGCTGAAAATTTCCAGTGATGGAAGCAGAGTGCAACTTCCTTGTATGTCCCTTCCACTACAGCCCAAAATGCCTCTTGAAATGCTGTGTTTGGGAGCCTGAGGACCTCATAGAAACAACATGAGAAGGGAAACAGATTTTCAGCAAGAGGGGGGGAAGGACCAAAAATTGTAACCTGCTTCTGATAGCAGAGATCCTCCGCAGGATCTAACTGGCATCAAGCTCTAATTATCACACTAATTTCACTTGTGTACACAACAACATCTGAATGCAACCTTCTATAAATGAAGCACTATACTTTCCAAATCCTCCTTAGCAATAACATCTCTCACTATTCTGTCTGTGACTACTAGCAGCTTGAGACAATGGAAACTTGAACTGTACACTTCTCAGATACACACGACACCAGGGAATATGTGAACAGAGCTCCCAGCATTTTTTTCAATCACTTGCATGGGGGCCTGTTTTGGATTGGAAGCATGATACAAATGGGTTGTGATCTCCCCCCCCCCCCATTTACCCAATCTAAAAAAAATCCCAGGGAGTCAGAATCTGAGTTGTGGGGTAAACTTACTGGTACCCATACCAGTATTCATAACATTTACCCCAACCAGACAAATGACTCCTAGGGTCCATTCCAGATGAGAAAAACCACATTGAGTAAAGATTTGAAAAACCTTGGCCCACTTCCCTCATGCTGCGATCCCAGTCTAATTTGGGTTCCCATTAATAGGCTTTAAAAGAAAAATGCTGAGAGATCAATTCATACAACCTCCAATATTATGTGTAGCTGAGCCCCCACGTATAACATGAGAAGAAACCCTAATAAACCCAATCCAGTTTAATGCCCAGAGTGTGGCAGGGCACTTAATACCTACTGAACCTTTGAAAACCTCCCAGGGAAGGCTTCAAAACCTCCACACACAAAAAACCCATATCAGACTGAATGGCTCTTACGAGGGATTCTTAATGTTTTAAGCTAAACCTGCAACATTCTCATACTTTATACTGATTGCTAACCATTCTGTCCTTGACAGAGCTACTATTGTAGCTGCTTCAAATTCATTTTGTGGGGAAAAACAAGATCACAACACTTAAATAAACAAATAAGCTCATGTTTGCACAGCACACGTGTGCATAACGGTGAGGATTTTACGTATCTGTAAAGCACACCGGATCTGTTATTTACCCACTGTGATAAGTTTATATTGGGCATTTGCAGGGATACTAAATAGGAATTAATGTGTTTATTTTATCCATTCCTAAATATTTAAAATATCTATATCCTGCCACTCCATTCATTGGAATCCATGAGGCAGCTAGATGTAACCCACTGTTACAGCACTGTACATTGAATCATGCTTGAGAAGGGTAAATTTTCTCAGGAAAAAAGAAATCCCCCATGGAAAAAATTAGTTTTGGTAGCCTTTCAAATCTGATGTGGGAGACAATACCCTTGCTCACTATTTCAAAAGGAGTGGCTTGTGAGAGTTTATTAGAAAAATGTAGAAGTAGACCTAAGTCAAACCTTGTGCCAGATGATAGTTTCTCTCTCTTGATCTATGCACCTGGCACAACATTAATCTGTATGATCAGAAAACAGGACAGCAAGAGAAATTATGCTATTTCCCATCTCATTAGAGAATAAACGTGTGTGTGTGGGGGGGACTTAACAGGATGATAAATCATGGGTCAGCATCCCTAAGGGCAGTCCCCAATGACTAAAGGGACCTTGTTGAATTTGTGTTCTATAGAACAGAGCACCAAATTGATATTATGTGTACTAAGTGTCAAATTGAGACCATACTAGATGGAAGTAAGCTTATTTGCATTGCGGTCACAGTCTAAGTATTTGTTCTGAGCCACCGAGTGGTACTGAACAGCATACAGGAATCTTGGGAACAATCCAATATCCAAGGCTTTCATTCATGATGGACTTTTCTCATTTTAACGTACATCAAAGAGAGACTCCTTATGTCAGATTCCTAACATATACTCAAAACACTGCTGACCTCTTGCAGATGTTTCTTATTTTCTGTTCCTCTAATCCATTTCGTCTCCTTTCTTGCTTTTGCACTCTGCTTACTTCTGCCCTCTTTACAATGGTTTGGACATCTCAATACTATAGTCTTCCTTCAATTTTTACCATAATACTATGGAGTACACCTTTCTTTGCCGCTGGCAAGACATTATAGGAAGCAAGAACAAAGTAGAAGATCTGGAAAATACACCAGCAAAATAACAAGCTCACTATGCACACACTATGCAAGGCATAAATATACCTCTATCTCAACCCCTCTCCTTACTGACAATTAACAGGTATCAAACATATCCACATTGCTGACAAGATCAAAGGCTATTTGCCACAAGTAGAACTACACTAGAACAAACAACTTAATGCTGATTATCACTTGGTAATCCTGCTTCCCTACTGAACCTTGTTTGCTACATCATAAGTCATCCTCAGCAAGCCTTCCTGGATCCTCTTCTCTAAAGCCAACAAGACAGATAGTAGACTCTATTAGTAGCATCAGCACTTCTGCTGCCCATGATGGAGTCTACTAGGCTTAGATGGTGACTGCAATGATTTATAACCTAGAAAGATGCAAGAATAAATTGTCTGCTAAACCTTACTGGACAGTAATTGTAGAAGCAATTAGACGCAACATGACACAACATAAAAGCAGTGACCCCATTAAAGTAGGAACATAAATACAATAAGTGATGCAACACAGGGCAGGGCTTTATTAGTTTAGGACATAACAGGATGTGACATGGGCAGTGATTGCATTCATTTACAATGTAACAGGATGTGACACCAAACAGGGCAGTGAAGTCATTGTGTACCCACTAGCTGAAGGAGAGGCAAGGCCTCTTCTGTCAATTAGGCATGGGGTCATATTGGGGAAAAGATAAGAGGGGGAAAGGGTCTTCCATTTCTTTTAGCTTTCTCAGCTAAGAAGTTTCCAACTCTACAGAAGTGGTATACGAGACATTTATTTTATGAGTAGCAGAAACAACCTGCTTTCCACAATGGAACCATTGCTTAGAAATGGAGCAATACCTCAAAAATCATAGACTGGTTCTTTGAAGTCCATTTGTTACCATGAGATGGTCACAACAGTGAGTTTCCTAAGAAAGTCACACTAACAAGGCCCAGGATCTTTCTCACCACATAGTTGAAACAGCCACCATCTCTTCCAGTTAAAGAAGTAGTAACATCAAACAAGCAAAAATGAGAATCCACTGATAAGTCAGGTGGAAACTCCATCTTTGAGAGTGCCGGGATGGAATTTGGTCCTCTGTGGTGTCTTGGGGACAAAATAGAGTGATAGTGGCAGAAGAGAATAGTCTGAGAGGCAAGCTTCAGTATGTCTTTGGTGAGGAAACCCTGTCATCAGGATTTGCCTCCTTCAAGTAACAAATACCATTCTTTAAAGCAGAGTTCATTTCCCACATCCACAGACACGAAAGGATAACCTGGCACAACAGTTAAAGAGTTGCCAGCCAGGCATCCTTCAAGAATGCTTCAACTTGGCTTACGGGGGAAAAGAAATTGTAGTTATGTTAGCACAATATCATTCAATACCAAGTTCAAATTTTACAAACATTTTATTAGAAGGGGTAACACTACTGGAAGGAGAAAAAAATTGTGTATCCATTATTCCACAGCTCAACAAAGCCAATGAACCAAGATAAAGAATGCTTCAGTTATAAAGCAAGAGACCAATGCAAAGTTGGAACTTCATGCATTTCCCCACGTGTTCAGGTTCTCAGTTCCAAATACCGTTTGCCCTGCTAATTTGCCATACTAACCTGGCAGCCTTATGGACTCCAGTAAAATCACAATTATCAGCAAAAGAGAGCTTGTTTGCTGACCACTGTCCAAAAAGAATCCAAATTAGCCAAAAGACACCCTTGCCCTCACTTCCCATCCCATCTCCCTCTCTTCCAGATGAAGTGTCTTTCAGTTTGTCTTACCTCTCACAGCCCCTTGCACTGGATTAGAAATGCTTTAGAGACAATTCAAATGATCAGGGGGGCATGTGGTACAACTCTCTCCCCAGACTGTACCACCTCAGAATGCACATAGAAGGGATAACTCTTTAACAGTGACCCACAAAGGAAGATAATCCATCAGAAGATGGCCTCCTTGCATTCTAATTCCTAAAAAAGGACTGCGGAATCATACCACAAGAGCTTTGTGGCTTTACAGTCACACAGGAGGGTTGTATCACTTGGGCTTACAAATATCTGAATTGACTCAGTTCAGAGTACTTCTTCCTCCTTCCAAAAAAATCTATAGGATGGAGTTTTTTGTTGGGAGCGTTTTTAGGATGTACCCATGGTTCACAAAGAACATATCAAAACCTAGCTTAGTTCTCCAGAAATGTCCTTTTCTTCTTCTTCCTTTTAGCCCTCTTTTTGTCTTTCATGCTGCAATATGAAGAAACCAAATAAACCAAGCACAAGTTGGGGCATCCATTACTTCCTCTCAGCAGTGCAATTTTTACCTGGATAAAAGTAATACTTATATTTGCATTTCTGCTGTCTTGTAGGAAATACAGACAATAGGGAAATGTCTTGTAAGATGAGATATGAGATCCACCAATACAACATTAGCAATATGGCTTTAATACAAAGGCTTTGGGCCACGCCGGGACCCTCTACCCAGCCAAACCTGCCATCCTGCAGTCTAGTGGCTGTATAAGCCAGGAATGAGGGGGACTTACCTTCACACCATCATTCTTCTTGTTGCCACCACTTTTCCCTCCTGCGGAGAAAAAGTACCATGTCAAGAGGACCAGGCAAGGTACTAGAGTCAATAGGGTGAGAACCAGCAACATGAGGGAAGTTGGACAATAGAAGTAGAAGACAGGAACAGATGATCAGAGATTCAGCACTATTGTCTCCTCTATAGGCCCTGAATTCACTTTACAATCCAGCGCGCTGTGTGAAGTCTCTCTCAAAGGCCCCTGAAGCTCAAAAATTGACGTTTTCTTACTTGGGTCCTCCAACGTGAATAAGAAAAGCCACAGCCACTTATACTCTTGTACACCCAAGTCTTTGAAAAAACCAAGGCAATGTCCAGCACAGGAAAGAGAAGGGAGCTGAAGAAGCATTCTCTGAGAATTTATTCTTCCTGATAGAGTTCCAGAAACTTTCAGCTACATGGCTAGTCCTGCCCTATGTCCCCCTTTGCCTACCCTGTTCTGTAGCCTCTGGTGTGAATGCTAATGGTCTGAGTGTAGCCAAGAGCGGCATGCAATTGCCTGTCTGGCTTTTGCACGCTCAGCCTCTCCAGCTAATTTTAGACCCCCTGTTGGCAGGAGTCATGTGCTACAATTATGACATCCTGACAGCTGCAGCCCACATTTTGACAATGATGAAAAGCAGACATCCCATCCCTATGCTGCCCCCCCCCCACTACCACTATCCCAGACCTAGCCTAGTTTCCTGGGACTGCAACCCTCTCGTGCTCCCTCCCTCTTCTTGCTACTGCCTTCAAATAGATTCTGAACAAGTGAAATGAGGCGCCACACACACAGTCCAAGTAGAGCTTCTAGGCAGAACCAGATAATCCAATTGTCTGTAACAATCATGGCTTTAATCATGAAAAGCCTCTGGACTTCTTAGGAGGGATAGAATACAAAACCAATAAAGGATTTGAATTTTCTACTCTTTGCTGTTGGTAGCAAACCTTTGCCACAGGAAGAATGCTGTCAATTAACTCTACTTAAAAATATAAACTTCCCAATAGCTTTCTAGTGTACATCCACCTTGGTTTGTGAACAATACAACCTCATTGTCTAAGCATCTAACATTTTGTTTTACTTACACTGCATATATAATGAATGCATGGAAGGCAGGCAGCATGTTATAGCCAGATCTTGTCAGATCTCAGAAGCTAAGCAGGTTCAGTACTTGAAAGGGAGCCCACCAAAGAACACTATGCAGAGGGAGGCAATGGCAAACCACCTCTGCTTCTCACTTGCCATGAAAGCCCCTTTCTGGGGTTGCCATAAATCAGCTGCAATTTGATGGCACTTTACACATACACACATAGATAATACACAACTGCATAGGAGTTTATCACATATAAGGATTACACTAGAGTATTTCACTCCATGTAAACACATTAGGAAAGCACAATCAATCATGATTTCTCTTTGCAATTGGTCACTCACAAATGTGACTGTTGTGTCTGAGTATATATGCTGGAATTACACATTCTCTCCTACATGGGAGTGTCCTTGGTGTACGGAAAAAAAATGTGACATTTGAAAAAAAATGGGTAGTTTCTCCTATTCCAGTCGGACATTCTGCTTGTTTATTATCCTATCCTATAAATCTCACTCTCATTGGCTATGTCTTTTGATCATAGGCCAGTTGTCTACACAACAACCTTGTCTCCAAAGCACAAACTGAAATCTCCTCTTGTACCCTCAGTAATTTAAAGTACTGTACTACCAAACAAAGGTGATTGAGTGAAGAGAGAAAAAGGTTGTATGAGAGGAAAATAATTGGCAGATGATTACTATACATTTATGAAAAATAATAAACATGGCTTTATAGAAGACATTAATAAGTGTCTAACTTAATTAAGAACTTATATTTCTTTCCAGCTATACGTAGCGAGACAACTTGCCCCTTAAAACAGTGAGTTTAAATGCACCTAACTCTGCAGTGATTTGTGGTCCTTGTGTACAATTACCTTGAAACTGGCCATTTTATCTCTACCAGCTATTCTATGTACCTAGAATGGAGAGGGAACAGGGGGTTGCAGGAAAGATTGCTGGGTATTGTTTAACGAAAACTAAACTACAGAGTGTGGGGTTCTATATATGAGAAATGGCACGTTATCTTAGTATCTTTAAAAAAAAATTACATAACTTTCTATTTAAGAAGCAGGCATTCCTCAGCCACTCTCCTCAGAGCTACAGAATGTATGACTCACATTGAATGCCTACCACATATAGCATTCCTTCTATATCATCCGCATGGAATTTTGGATAGAAATAATATGCCATCTCTGTTTGGACACTATAAATTTAAGTGATAATTCAGGGATAGGTAACATAACACGAAAGGGCCACATCCTCCTCCCCATGCTTATCATCTAGCCTTCATTAACCTACACATTGCTGGTCTAAGATACCCAATGAAATTGAAAGAGATTGTGTAGACACAATAATGGGATGAAACTGAATGAACTACAAAGGCCTGAGGGTTGTTTCAGAATTTTTTAAATATATATTACCATTTTTAATTATACAAAACTAAATTTCTTTATAAATACGGCACCAACCTTGCACCTGGCTTAGTTGTGTAGTTTTAAGTAAATGGCACTTTAGTATGCAAAACTGACTACAGGATTGCAGCCCAAACCTGGAAGTAGACAGCTGGTCATTTGAATGACGCATATATAAAATCCAGACATGTTTCTGTTCTTTGTGCATTAAAATAGATATATCTATGTTGGTGAAAAGTGGAGAAGTTTATTGAATATGAAAAATTTGCAATTAAATTATTTAGCATGTATGAGGAAAAACCTTCACATGTTGTGCTGCATTTGATAATTGTTCACATATTAGGCAACCAGAGCCCTATTTGAGACAATTGGAGACTATGATGTGATTTGTACTTTTTGTATTATGTGTTGGCCAAAAATAGATTGAGTATTAGACTGAAAACTGGAGCACAGGTATAGATTCTAATCAATATAGCTAATTCTTGATATGACCCTATCTATGGATACTGAAAACCAGGGACTGAGGCCATGGATCTTTCTACAGGTCTTTCTTTTTTGCACTTTGGAGGTGGGGCCGACTGACCGGATCTGGGCCGACGGGTTGGAGGCCGCTAGAGCAGGTGAACCCCCCCCCCCCCGGGTCTGGCAGCCCTAGGTAAAGATGGAGGGGAGATAAAAGATAGGCTGGTTGGTGGGTACTGTGAAGGAAACAGGGAAAGTTGAAAATATGAGGGCTGCCAGGAAGACAGATACAGTGTGGGGAGGGGGATATGGGGAAAAGGAAGGAGCTCTCAGCAAGTTTTCACAGGTGCTCCACTGTGCAACTTGGCCCAGCCCAGCCAGCATCATGAAACTTGGCTGAGCCTGGCACCTGGGCTGGCACTGCACAACTTGGCCAGACTTTTCTCAGGGAGGGAATGAGGTAAAGCTGAAGATGGGGGTAGGTGGGTGGGGAGGCAGATAAAGGTAGGTTGGCTATTGGGTGGGAAGGAGAGATGTAAGCAGGATGAGGGTAGAGGAAAGAGAAAGAAGAAATAGCATGAGGGAGGAAAATGAATTGCCCCCTGGAAGTCCTTGTGGATCCCTGCTTGTGCAGTCTATTTTTTGGCAGTGGCTTGCCTCTAGTTTCACTACTAAGAAGATCTACCATGAAAATCAAATCACAAAATCCAGGCTGTGCCAGTAAAGCAGGACTTCTTATTCTTTAGGAGCAGGGGTCATTTCCTGCAGGAGCGTACAGGAGCGGAGCTCTGGCAGTAAAGAGCCCAGGGGGCAGGCACATGCAACAAGCCCCAACCCCTGCTCCCAGCAGCCCCGGGCCACGAGGAGCATGAGGATCTGCACATCCCCCCCCCCCATAGCTAGCAATCCAAAACAGCCCAGTGGAGCCTGAGCAGTGGGTGTTGCCTTCTGACACACTTCCGATGATGTCAGGGGGTGTGGCATATGCAAATTAGTTATGCTAATGAGTTATGCTAATGAGCTCCTGCACCTCTTTTTTTACGAAATGACCCCTGTTTAGGAGGGATGTTATTGAATTCTTCCATGAAACATCCTGCTCTTTAGTAAAGAGTCAAGAACTCTTACATCATCCTTATAGGATTTAGTGACCACTATTCTCTTGACGACTGAGTATCTGGTAAAAAGCAGCAGTTGTACTGATGTGTGGTAGATGTTTATAATTAGGGGCAGGAGGGCAGTATAAGAGAATGTTCGTGAACAATATTAAAGTTGTCGTTTGCATGTTCTGGGTCTGTAATGTAAATGCCAAGCCTGTATGGGATACAGGCTTGGCATTTACATTTCTTCTAGCTTTTATGTGTACATATATTTCAAGAAATGCTACAAGGTCCTATGGCCATTCTTGTCTCATTTTTTTCCCCAGTTACAGCTGAAATTTAGAGTTCTCTCTCAGTGTCCAACATCACTCTATCTAAGATACATATCTATTAAACCAAGAAGCAGCAAGTAAATTTTAACTTGGGCAGAATTATGTTACCTACCGGAAAAATTGCGGGTTGCTAGCATGGTAGTGAGGATCGCACCCTGAAACACACAAAAGACAGAAAGAAAAGGGGGAAAACACATATTACTGGGTTCAGAATCATGCTTATCCCTTCCCCCACCCCCACCTCATTCCTCTTAAAGGCACCCTGTGGAAAAAATGAGCAGGCTGGGGCTGCAAGAGGGATGAATCTTTGGCACTTTGCCATGGGCATGATGAATATAGTTCTGAGATGATATTAATAGATATAGCATACAGTTTGCAAAAACCTAGTCACTGGATATAGTAGCTCAGAGATTTTCACTGCTCTGCAAGTTTCTGGATGGTCTTGGCATCAGGTCAATTTAAACACCTTCTGGAGGCCTGGTATCTTTTCTCTGTGTGTGGCACTACGGGTTGTCATTCTTCAGCAAACAGGCTCTGATGGGACCAGACCAATTGATGGAGTTCTATCAGGAATTACTGAGGGGTATTTTACCCCACCTCAAGAGATCTGACAGATTAATGACAGCAAGAGCAACCAGACCCAACTCATATCAGCAATATAAAGGCTTTCTCCTTTAAAAAAACCAAACATCTGTTTTCCTGAAATCAAAAGGTTGCAGCTAGTATCCAAAACTTGTTATTCCTGTGATATTAAGATCTTCAGACCAACAGAGACAAACTGATCTGTGGCATGTATTTTTACTGCAATTAAATGTTACTTCCACCACAGCCACCACTGTCACTACTCCTACCCCTAATATCTCTCAGAAAGCATGTTCTTCCAAATATGTCAAAGAGTAACTCAGGGGTCTCCTCATATCCATTTTACAGATAGGTCTACTGGAGTACTAAGGTACCCTGTCCACAGCCATTCTCTGTAAACCAGTAAAAGAGCTCATTATAAGTCACTGTTCTCTTTAGCCTAGTACTTCTAAAATTGTTCGGATCCTGTCCAATCTGGCTTCAGGCCTGGATGTGGGACTGAAACAACCTTGGTTGCCCTGGTGGATTACATACACCAGGAGATGAACAGAGGGACCACAACCCTGCCTGGACCTCTCAGCAGCTTTTGATACCATCAATTATGGTATAGTTCTAGACTGACTCTCAGAGTTTGGACTGGGAGCACTGTTTTGTGGTAGTTTCAGTCCTACCTCGAAGGTAGGTGCTGGGGGACTGCCACTCAACTCCTTAGCCAGGGACCTATAGAGTCCCACAAGGTTCCATCTTGTCCCTGATGCTTTTCAACATCTTTGAGGTCATCTGGTGACTTCTGTTGGGTTTTCACTAATATACAAATGACACTTAAGCTCAATCACATGTTTCCAGGGAGGTCCCTGTAGGAAGTTCTGAGATGGACAAGGGCCAATAAACTGAAGCTTAATCCCAACAAAATGGATGTAGTCAGAAGAAGTGACCAGGAAATTGAAGTGTCTCCTGTTCTAAATGGGATTTTATCCCCCACCCCCAAAGAGCAGGTTGATAGCCTGGGGGTGCTGCTGGAATTGAGGCTTCTGTTGGATAAACAGGTGGCAGTGGTGGCCAGGGTGCTTTCCATCAGTTTCAGCATGTGAATGTGTTGCGAGCTTTCCTGAGTGGTACATGTCCTGATAATATCTAGATTACATCACATCAATTCACTGTATATGGAACAGCTCTTGAAGAGTGTCCAGAAACTGTAGTTCCTACAGAATGATCCAGTGGGTTGTAGGACCATACCACTCCAGTCTTGTTCCATCTGCACTGGCTTCCCATCTGCTTCTGGGTCCAATACAAGGTGCTGATATTGATCTTTAAAGCCCTATACAGCTTGGAACCTGCATACCATGAGCATTGTCTACTCCTGTACAAGATTATCTGACCATTAGGATAATCTTCAGAGGCTCTGTTGTCTAAGGCTAGACAGGTGGCAACCTGAGAAATGGCTTTCTTTGTTGTGGCACCAAAATTACAGAATTCCCTCAGCAGGAAATTACAGAATTCCCTCAGCAGTAAGATATGTCTATCCTTCTCAATCATTGCCTTCTGCTAGTTTTCTCTGTTTTGTCTGATGTACCCTCACTGATCCTCCTTCTTGTTTGATTTTAACACACATACATACAGAGATATACAGTGTTTAAAGCTGATTTTTAATCTATTTTATTTGTTTTCCACCAGCCAACATATATATATAACAAATGAATAAATAAATTCTGGGACTTCCCATTCTCTTAAATAAAAGAGGGAAACAGGGGAATACAATAATTTTCCTATATAGATTGCCACCAGACAAAAAAGTAATAAATTAGCATGATGTAGACAATATTTATTCCCATACAATTCAATTAATTTGTTACATTGGCAATATATTGATCAACATTTCTCTCAAAACAAAAACTTTTGAACAATAGTTCAAGTGGGAACGAACATCTCCATCCCTCTTTCTTCTCTGCCTCCCATGCTGATACACACATGAAGCATTTCTTGTTAGTCCAATCAGCTTCATGAGCTAGTTAGAAGCCATATAAATAAGATCACATTAACATAATTGTGGCAGTTACAGATTACTGGTAAAAGTAAACAAAGATTACTGCCTGTTACCTTCAGCTCAGTAATCCTATTAGCCTTAAGCCTTTTCCCTGGACACATTCACAATGCATGCTCACAAATCAAGAAGGCTGAATTACAGTGTACAAACAGTGTGAAAAGAGTTGATGATATCATCATTGGTACAATTCTTATTCAATACTGAACTCCCCCCCCCCCCCCGACCAGATTAGTACTAGGTAGACAGTGGCTTGCTGCAGACATCACTGGGATTCATGATATATGAATCTTGCCTCGTTCCCTGGTGTAACGCAGGCCAGGATGCCAGTCAGGTCTTTGCGCAGGAGGCCGTGACAAAAGTAAAGGCAATGAGGCCAAAATTTGCCAAGGCAAACCAGCATCTGAATAATCATCTGCTAGCTGAATCCTAGTTTCACAAATCAACCATTGTTAAAATCTGCCATGATTTCATATTTTGTCTGAATTGAACCACTTACTTGAAAATAATTAATTTGGTCATGGAACCTGAGATCCCTTACTTGGAAGTAAGTGCCACTGACATCTATGAAAGTGTGCTGAGGAATGCAACTATCATGAGTTCTATCAGAAGGTGACTTTAATTTGTCCTGAGATTTTAATTAAAGGGCTTGAACTACTTTAATGAATCAGCATTATCTTCTCATCCTCAGTTATTATGGATTAATTTAATGGACTTGATCACAGAGCAGACCCCTTTCTTTCCAGTAATACAGAACTTCTCTCTGCACAGGAAATGATAACATAGTGCTACAATTTCCAATGTGAAACGGATTTTGTTCTCCACATAAACTGGATTATAAAAAATGTGGAGAAGTGCAGCTTCATTCTCACATTGAATGCTTAAGATAACAAGATCTTAGTGGTGTCTAGGAAGGCCTTTGCTTTCTTAGGTTAAAAGGTATCTGGAAGTATCAGAGCCAAATCTTTGTGAATAGGAGCACACAAATGAAAGGAGAAAAAAGTCAGTAAAGCAGACCCATTTACTAGAGATGCACCTGTGAATCAGGGGTGGGATATAAAATACCTTTAGCTTCCTTCTGGCATTGAACTTCTTCAGGCAATCCACGGTCTCCTGTCTGTGCATACATGAAGCCACGGTGGAACGGTGCTGAAAGACAAAAAGAAAGTCTATTCAGAAATGGAGGGGAATGAATGGAGAGATCCCACTTGTTTGAGCAACAAGGATTTGTTTTCTTAGTAACTGTATTCATTGCCTAGCAAGCATTAGTGCCATGAAAGCCCCAATCATCATTTGTTCTCTGTTCACAACTTTGTAACTGGACCATACCGGACAAATCTATTGGGGGAGGCTAATTGTGTATACCCCAGCTTTTGCTGGATAAGATGGTTTTCAGCCATATAATTTTATGAAGATCTAGTTACAGCTTGTGCAGAATAATTATTTCATTCTTTCATGCACGAGCCTGAGCTCTGACTCCTAAATGTGTGTTCATATTAGGCATACCCCCACATCCATATGTTCCTGCATTCTCCAGGAGGCAGCAAATAAAACTTTAATTGACTGTGCAATGTAGTTGCCCTCCTTGTTCATCCGTTTCTTGTTGTCTATACCAGAGATGCTAGAAATAGTTCATAAATTGTTAAAAGCTTAGCTAACCCACCCTAGGCTGATTCTCCCATACTCTGATGGTTCATACTGCTGTTCTTTACTAGTGAAACAGACATGCAAGTCAGGGGCTTTGAGATAAATGTTATGACTCTAGGGAAGACATTGTTCAGGGGCCCAAGTCACCAGCATCTAGTGCTGTACAGGCTAATACTTCAATATGTTCTGTATTGAGTTTCCATCTTTTTCCAGCTAATCTTGATCTCTCCCATAGTCAGCCACCCAATTGTTTTGGGGGCATTGATAAATTAATTGTACATCAGCTCTTATTACATTGTGGGGGAGGTTGTCTTAAGTACTGTTTTGCACCTTTTGGTCAGCTGAAGTCTCCCATCTTTTTTTTAATGATCAATATTTTGTAATTGCACCAATATGGTAGCAAGAGGGGAAAAAATCATGAACAATAACTTTGGTTCAATACAAAGTAAAAAGTACTTAAGCCCCTCTCTTTACATCAGAGAACAAGTGCTGATGATTAGACATATATTCATGAGTGCCAAGAGAGAAATCAGCTAGTCAGGAGTGAAAAAGAAGTAATTAATTGACAACACAGAAATAAAAGGAAAATACATGAAGAAGCAGGACCTTTGCCAACAGAGATTTGTTTCTAGGTGAATATGTAGTAAAATCTTGCCTGTGGGGATGGATTTTTATGGGGAGTATTGCTATGTGGAACCCCTATTTCAGTTCCCCAGGAAGATGAATGAGAAACCTTTCAGCAGTACAAAAAGGCTGTATGCCTAACCTCATTCTTTGCCTGAGTGTGGAAGCAAGATGCAAATGAAAAATACTCCTTGGAAACAAATTGAAAATTTTGCTTTAAGAACATACAGGGAAACCTCAGGAACCATCCTTGTACAAACTGCCTGACCCCCCCATCCCCTGCATTGTGAGTAGGTGAAGACTGGGATTATTAAAAAAACCTGCTGAAATCCTATGTGTTGTTTTTTATTATTCTAGGAACAGAGCGAAACTAAAAGAGTAAGCACGAAAATAGCAAAAGAGAGCTTAAAATGCATTGCTGTAGATCAGAATGACAGATATTGTGAGGAAAAGAGAAGGCAAGAAAGGCCAATTTTATTTAAAATAAAGAATAACTTTGTATTGTGCAATTCTCTTAAAATATACATGTTGGTTGCAGCCTATTTTGACTATTATAAGAAGAACTATAAAAAAGAATAGGCTTTTAAAGCATCATCTATAACTAATGGCTCACTATTGTGGTCCAGCATAACAGAAATATAAAACATAACAATAATACTGCCAATAATCAAGTTTTCACATCTTTTTCTGTACTACATATCAAAGATGTCCTTTCACAGAAATGTTTTATGAGCATTGCTTATTATTTGGAGACAATACTGAAACACAGAAACACATATACTTACTGATATCCAGGGATGCTTTAGAGCTTCTGCTGCTGTGATACGTTTGGATGGGTTGATTGTCAACATTTTATTGATGAGATCTTTTGCTTCAGGAGTGACAGTGTCCCACTCAGGGGAAGGAAACTGCAAAAGCAAAGGGAGTGAGTGTTTATAGATCAAGATGGGTAGCTGTGTTTGTGTGTCTGTAGCTGTAGAATAGAGCAAGAGTCCAGTAGCACCTTAAAGACTAACAAAATATGTGGCAGGGTATGAGCTTTCGTGAGTCACTGCTCACTTCTTCAGTGAATGTTTGATAGCAATAGGCTTGTTAGACCTTTTACTTCCTCCCTAAAATCTGGCCTGTTCATACACAACCTTTTTTCAGTCTATACGACTTACAGGTTTCAGATTGCGTGTGGGTACCCTCTTGCCTTGAAAACCCTACAGGGTTGCCATAAATTGGCTGTGACTTAAAGGCACTTTCCATCACTACCATGGGTAAGTATGAAAATGTTTACTTATTTATTTAGCAGGAAATGAAGGGATAGTCGCTTTGCATCATCAGTCAAAGGCAGCAAATGCAGCACAGAATGACCGCTGGGCGGGGGCCAGGTGCTGTGAATGTTCTGCCAAAATCTGTACACTGCTGACTTGCCATCTTGCTTCAGGCTTGCCAGCTTGTTATTGAACGCATACAACAAAAAGAAAATGATTCCCTGAGCAGCCTCATTACAAGGCCTGTCTGGACCATGGGAAAATGCAGAACAGAGATTAAACACTTATATTATATCTTGGTGTGGAAGAGGTACATTTGTATTTATTAGTGAAAATATTAATATCCTGCCTTTCCTCATGGCTCAGGGAGGCTTACTAATCACATTTAAAACATCATGATTTAAAACAAACAAGAATAAAAACACAAATAACCTCCCAATTCCAAAAAAGTCCTGGCCAACAAAATGGCCTTGTATCACCGTGCCGCCCTCACCTCCTCCAGGAACCCATTACACAAAGTGGGAGCTACCATGGAAAAGACATAGGTTGACGCCAGACTGCAGTTGGTATCATAAGTGAAGGAACTACCAATAGGTGGCAGCCATAGTTGGCACATGGGACATATAGGAAGAGACAGTCCTAGGCCATGAAGGGCTTTAAAAGACACAAAAAGCACATTGAACTGCTGCATTCTGAACCAGCTACAGTTGCTAGGTTGTCTTTAAGATAGGTTTGGCAACCTTCAGGTGGGGCCTGTAGATCTCCCAGTATTACAACTGATCCCCAGATGACAGAGGTCAGTTCACACTGAGAAAATGGCTGCTTTGGAGGGTAGACTCTAGGGCATTGTACCCTGCTGAGGTCCGAAACCCTCTTACCCCATGTTCCACCTATAAATCTCCAGGAATTTCCCAACCTAGAGTTGGCAACCCTGTTTAAAGGGCAGTCCAATGCAGTGTGTATTAATATTGTCCCAAGGATCAACATGGATGAGCAGAGCAAGACTGACCAAGTCTAAGAAGGGAGCAGGTTGGCAAAGCAAATACAGCTGGTAGGAGGCACTCTGGGCCACTACCCCAACCTGATTTTTAAAAAGCAAGGCTAGGCCCATGAGCACCCCCAAACTCTTAACCTCCATCAGCTACAAGGGGATCCAGTCCCTCAACCAGCCTTCCCAACCAGTATCACCTCAGTATGAGCAACCTCATATAAATACAGGACTAGACCCGTACCAACTTTTGGAAAGCGGCTATGCCAGGGCAAAATCTATTGTTTTCCAGCGCCTCAGAGATATTGAGCTACAAACATCTTATGCCGCACTTCCGCCTCTTTTCAAATCTCTGAAATCCAAACTTTTTATGTCTGCCCCTTTATACTTAGCTAATATATCCAACCCGAATCATAGATGGGCCTTTTCCAGAGCCAGATTTGATACTTTTCCATCTGCAGTTCTTTTCGGAAGATTTCAACGCATCCCCAGGCATTTGAGACTGTGCTCATGCCCCTTGGAGTCAATAGAGACCCTTCCCCATATATTATTTCATTGCTCCTATTATGCAGAAGAAAGAGCCCTTTTAATTATGCCCCTGATAAGGTCATTTAGGTTCCAAGGACAACTAGTAATCCAGTCCGAGGAACTTTTGCTGAAATACTTTTGTTGTTGTTCAGTCGCACAGTCGAGTCCGACTCTTCGCGAACCCATGGACAATCTCCCGCCAGGCTCTCCTGTCTTCCGCCGTCCTCCGAAGTTGGCTCAATTTCATGTTCGTTGCATCGCTGACACTGTCTAACCATCTCATCCTTTGCCGTCCCCGTCTTCTTTGACCTTCAATCTTTCCCAGCATCAGGGTCTTTTCCAGTGAGTGCTCCCTTCTCATTTGGTGGCCAAAGTATTTGAGCTTCAGTTTCATTATCTGGCCTTCCAGGGAACAGTCAGGGTTGATTTCTTTGAGGATTGACTGATTTGTTCTTCTTGCAGTCCAAGGGACTCTCAAGAGTCTCCTCCAGCACCATAGTTCAAAAGAATCTATTCTTCGGCGCTCGGCCTTCCTTATAGTCCAACTCTCACAGCCATACATGACTACTGAGCTAATATATCCAACCCGAATCATAGATGGGCCTTTTCCAGAGCCAGATTTGATACTTTTCCATCTGCAGTTCTTTTCGGAAGATTTCAACGCATCCCCAGGCATTTGAGACTGTGCTCATGCCCCTTGGAGTCAATAGAGACCCTTCCCCATATATTATTTCATTGCTCCTATTATGCAGAAGAAAGAGCCCTTTTAATTATGCCCCTGATAAGGTCATTTAGGTTCCAAGGACAACTAGTAATCCAGTCCGAGGAACTTTTGCTGAAATACTTACTGGAGGACAAATCCATGGCAATATCAAGGAAGGTTGCTAAATTTCTTTTTATTGCAATTATAAAGCGGAAGGACCTCCTTAATACTCCTCATGATGTCTCTTCTCTGTAACACTTCTCGATAACCTGGAGATTGTTTTTTATTTTGTATGCTGTTTGACGGGTCTTTGACTGTAATAAACTGATTGATTGACCGAAGAGCATGCATGTTAGAAGAGAAGCCCATGGCACTCCACAGGAGCACCCTGTCAATCCTGTTCCTCAAGTGGAGGCTCTTTGTGTCCAGTCAGACAAAAAAAGACCAGAACAAAGAAAGATTCACTCTCATAACGCCACCTGATGAATAAAACAATACTGAGTATGGTGTTGCTGTAAGGATTTCTGTGACAATGGATATAATGTACTGTGAACACCTACAAACTACTATAGGGATACTAAATAGGATCTTCTGTCTTCCCTAGGGGCAGACTGGGAGATCAAAATGGCCCTGGAAAGGAATCTCAGTCCCCTCCTGTAACCATACACCCTTCACTCAATGAGGGCCAAAGAGCTGGCTGAAGGGAAAGGAGCCACCATGCTCTTCCTCGCTGGCTGCACAATGCCCATTGTGTAAAGTCAAGATATAAATATTTCAAATAAATAAACTATCTTCTAGATTAAGTGAGTGAACTGAGTATGCTAAACCCAAGCCCTCTGCCCCCAGCCAAAATCCTACAGTCAGCACCATCTTATCCTAACTGCAAGTAATGGTATGATGAAAAGAGGAAACTTAGAAGAACTCAGAGAAGCACTTCCTGTAGTCATTCTCTGACAATTTCCTTCCTTGAAGGAAAGTTTGGGAAGCTATGGGACAGCAAGCTCTCTAGAGCTTCTGCCAAAGGACTCTTCCCCCATACAAATTGCAGCCCTGTGCAAAGCATGGTGGAGTTGCAGCTGACTTTGCACAGGCACGCACGCACACACACTCACACACACTGCCAATGCCAGTGTCAGTGGGTTCTACTGTGCATTCTGTACACTCAACATGTTCCCCCATATTATGAGATTGTATGACTCTTCCCCATTTTTTACAGTGGCCTATAACACAGCAGAGAATCCCCTAGTGTGTAGCAATATGGAAAACATGGCTTCACATCTGCTTGTCACTTGCAGAAAAAGTCTGGTCCATTTCAAGAGGGGAGGTTTTCCCCATTGCCCTAGGGCAACTGTGTAATTAAAAAAAAAATCTTTAGACACCACCACCCACATGTCACAAGTGACGTTCCTTGATTTAGAAAAAGTGCGGTTTTTTAAATTGTAGCTGCAGAATGATACCAGAGGGGGGGGGGAAGTGTTGTGTAAGGTGGTAACAGAATCCAAGGTCAAGCTTAAAGGCTTACTGCTCAGAAAATCTGCAGTAAGCTGTGCGTGCATAATAGGCCATAGAGAAATAGCTTATATAAATTTTACTGAAAATTAAGCTTTAACTTTACTGCTGTGTGAGCAAAGCGATGCAAGTGATCAGAACTACTGAAGGAAATAAGGGGGGATGAGAGAAAGAAAAACACCATTACTCACGTCATAGGCTCCAGCTTTGATCTGCTGGTATAGTCTGTGTTGATCTTCATCCCAGAAAGGTGGATAGCCAACCAGCAGAATATAGAGAATAACTCCTGAGTGATACATGAAGAAAACAGCATTGTTACACCTGTACTTGCCAAGTACAGGTGGTAAAAGGCTAGGTCAGTTACTTAGATTTTTGGAGCAGACCCACGCTGTCTGGGAGACTAAAAACTGAAGGTGATTTGTTGAGAGCTCTTTATATTAAGTGGATACCTCACTGCACAACCAGCATCATGCTAACAATATGTGGTACAGCTTCTTGGCTGTAGCATCAAAAACCTTCAGACTGCAGTATGAGCTTTCTATGGCTCAAACTTAATAGTCAGGTAACATCAAAATTTGCCAGCAAGAGACTCCAGTCTTTATGGATATGGAAGGATGAGCAATCCACACCCTCTGGTGGATTTCAGTACATATAAAATGATACTGGCTGCCTGACCCTAGGGAAACACTGATCCTGCAAACTGTCATAGGCAGAGAGTTTTTCCAGGTATGCATATGGTACTTACTGGAGGATTCAGGAGCCTGAGCATCTCAAAATGACTAGTCTGAAAACAGCCTCTTTTTAGGACTTTGATACCTGGGGACTGAATGCTCGTTTGAAGCTTCTTGGCTAGGGCTGCTAGCACCTTGGGAAATCCCTGGAGATTTAGAGCAGTGGTACATGGGGAGGGAGCTCAGGGGGATATGAAGCCACAGAGTATGCCCTCCAAATATTCAATTTGATCCAGGGGAGCTGATGTCTCTAGTCTGCAGATCACTTGTAATTCTGGGATAACTCCAGGCCCACCTTGAAGTTGGTAATCCTGGCTCCTTCTAGGGCTGCCAACCTCCAGGTGGGGCTTAGATATCTCCCAGAATTACAACTGATCACCAGACTTCAGAGGTCAGTTCTCCAGGAAAAAATGGCCACTTTGGAGGGTGGACTCTCTTATACTCCTTCCCCTTCCCAGACTCTGCATTCCCAAGGTTCCACCTTCAAATCTCCAGGAATTTCCCAACTTGGAGTTGACAACTGCTAGCCCTCCTCCCACTTGGGGGCATTGTTGTTTTAGGTTAGGGTATTCATTCAGGTTCTTGCTCTTAGGTTCATACAGCAGAGACAAGTGTGCTCAGAACAACATCCATTTATTAACAAGGAGACACCAGGGATGGGAGCAGCTGGTTTCAGAACAATAGAGACCATGCAGCCTACACTTCTAGTTAATGAAGAACTAACTAAGCAAGGACTCCTCTATCCCATGGGAATAAACTAGCTCACATGAATATCAGGGGGTAAAGCAGACTGTTTCATTGTAATGTATACAACAGATATACCACAGTGGTATTGAATCTTAATGGCAACCAAATTACAAGTAGTGATAAAATGGTGAAAGATTGAAATGATTATTTTATCCTGGGCCAGTCTGTAATTCATTTCCTGCCACCTATGGCGAGACATCATGAACTGGAGAGAACAAGAATTATTTTATCCAGTATCCAGGACATCCTCCCTTAATTTTCTGTATGGGTGTTCAGCCCCTTATTATAATTGTTGCCTACATATCTACACTTTCCCTCACATTTTACCAGGTCCTCAGTTCTAACTTGAAAATCAGATAAGAAATCCAAGGTATATTATTCAGGAAACATTGATCATCAATGTAATCTCAATGGAATGCAGAAGTTTTGCTCATTTTTACTTACTGTTATGTGCCCTTTTCTGTCACCTTATTGCTCTGACAAGGAAATCTTCCTGCTAGTAAAATCTTGTATAAAGAAACTGATCTTAGAAAATCTGGAAACCTCTTGGAAAACATTTGCAAGGACTCAGCAATTATGTATACCAGTAGCCAAAACACACATCAGAACAGCCACCTAGCACTGTGGAAAAGGTACAGATGTGTGTTTTGTGCTAGCTTCATCAGAGGATAAATGTTATGTATTGGGATTGAATCATCCCTGATTGAATCACCCCAGAGACTGGCTGAGCTTGGAGCACAAGAACAATAGGGTGATGATGAGGGGATGGGGAGGGTGGTGATGGTCTTTGACGAGTATCTTTTCTGTATGTTTTGTCATGTCTTGTGTTGAAAATAAAAATTATATATATATATATATATATATATATTAGGTGTGGCAACTGCATGCTCTTTAACAGAGCTGAGGTTCTGGAGTCTTGTCTTGTGTTCTGCTGAAATCACTTCATAAACCTGAGCTGATCACTGCAATGCATCTAGAACCCAGTATCTTTCCTTATATATAATTCTGTTTTAGAGTGGCAATGTTCCATACGCTCCCAAATCAGTTGGATCCCTGAGCTGTCACTCCGAAGGTGCCCCACTCCATTGGCTGCGTTCTCAGAGTCCCGCCCACAGAAGTGGCAGCCAGTGTCTCGGCCTCAGTGTGCTGGGAGCCGAGGGATGCAACGGATACTCCAGCAGGCAGAGGCTGAGGAGGTTGAGGCTGATGATGGCGGTGCCACAGCGGTTGTCCACAGCCAGGAGCAGGTAGCTGGCCAAGCTGTGAGCACACAGAAATGCTGCCCAGCATCTTGGCCTCACTGTGCGGGGAGGCGAAGAACGGGCCAGACACTCCGGCAGGTGGAGGCTGAGGAGGCTGAGGCCGACTATGGCGTCCCCACAGCGGGCGTCATCAGCCACGGCCAAGTGCAGGTGGCTGGGCAGGCTGCAAACAGATGGGGGCCAGGACCATGCAGGAGAAGGTGGCCAAGGAGGAGGGCGAAGCCGCAATCTTTCTAGAGCTCGCTGTATGTCTTTTACAACAAGCTTTGCTACTAGTTTAATATTAAACCTAGTAGAACTATTTGCCTGTTTTTTCTGTGGTAACTGGTGTGGCCCTTTTGGTTTTCTCTACCTAGTACTGCAAATAATTTATGTAATGAGGCTTGACAACCATCTTCTGCATTATGAGCAGAAATATAATGAAAAATACAGTTGTTGAATCACAGTGATCTCTTTCTCCTTTTCCACAAGTCTGCATCTAGTACACAGTGATGTTTCAAACAGTCTCACTTACCACATGCCCACAAGTCCACAGCTTTGCCATAAGGGTCTTTTCGGAGGACTTCTGGGGAAAGGTAACCTGGAGTGCCAGCAAAACCTGAGATAAATAGTGATAATATGCAACAAGTTAAACCACTGCTACCAGAAGAGTCAGAAGCTCTAAGCTTCAGTGACATTCCCAGATGTATGCCACTATAAGCCAAACCCAATTTGCCTTGATTTTACAATTGCCACACTTAGTTGTGAATAAGCAAAGCAGTGAATAAACAAAGTAGTGAATAAGAAAAGCAAAGGAAAACACAATTCACAGAACCTACATGAAAAGGGGCATAAGCCAAACTCTAGAAAACACAAAGCATTTTTATATCCATGACTGTGCTACAGGCCAATTTGTGACCTTGGTCACCTAGTTCACAAAGTTCTTGTAAGGATAAAACTAGTAACATACTGTATGCTGCCCTGAGGTCCTTGGAAGAGGAGCAAGATACAAATGATATAAATACAGAAACTAAATGAATATTTGAATGTACACCAGATCCATTTAGCTGGAGATAAGGACTGAACTGTGACCTTTTGCATGCAAATAACTGTGCTCAACTACTGAGCTGTATTCCTTTTCTAATATAAATCAGCAAATTGTAGTTATAGCTTGAAAAAGTACAAATTGTTCCCTTAACAGCTGTGACTAAATTTCAAAGATACAATAGCAATGTGTCACATTGACCTAATTAACTTGCATTTGTAACTGCAAGTTATCACGCAACAATTGAACCACAGCTAGCACCCAAGTAGGCTTTTCTGAGTTTTAATGAAGTGACTCAACAAAAAGCCTTGCACACCAGGGGAAGTAAAGTTAAAGAAACATTTAATAGTGCTTAAGTAGATATATTAGCTAACACAAACTTACTAAGTTGGGGAGCTATACACTTCCTAAATGAAGGTGAGTTACTTTTTAAGGTTGCGATGGAATAATTGGATTACAATGGCCCCTGCCACACGGGACGGCTGAAACACGGCTACTCAGAGCCGCTCCAAACTTGAGACGCCGCGGCGGGATCCCACGGATCCCCTGAGCTGCGGCGCATCGCTCCCTGGCACGATCAGATGCCGGGGAGGAAAAGTCCGATGGGAGGGGGAGGCTGCCGAACTGCGCATGCTCAAGCATGCGCAGTTTGGCCGGGGGCCGGGATGTGGCGGCGCAAGGACGCGCCGCCGATTCCACAGCCCGGCTTGAGGCGCTCCAATGGATGCAACCACCTAGATAGGTGGTTCTTTTTTACGGCGCGGTATTGGCATTTGGGACGGATCAGGGACGGAGACGGCACGCTCCCCAGATGTTGAGGTGGGATCGCGCCCGTTTGCTCCGCCCCCGTTCCGTCCCGTTCCCGGCCCAAATGGGCTCATATGGACAGGGCCAATGTTTGGTATATTTAACTATTCCCAATTCTTGTATCTTTTGCATGAAAGATTAAATTTATAGGCCACAGAGAGCAGATGAAATACATTACCTTCAGTAAGACAATTGTTGAGCATATACAAAATGTGAAACCATTCAGAGCTCAATGGAGCAGTGCCTCTGCAGGATATTTTAACAGTTACTATAAAGTATTTTGTATACTTTATAGTAACTATCTAGTATAAAGCAATTGTATCTAGCATACTACTCATGGTTTAGAGTGTATTATTGGTTCTATATTGGCCCCAGTTTTGTCTTGTTTCCTTACCTGATAGGGTTGCCAGATCTGGGTTGGGAAATACCTGGAGACTTTTGGGAATGGAACCGGAGGAAGGTGACGTTTGGGGAGGAGAAGGATCTCAGCAGGGTACAATGCCATAGAGTCCACCTTCCAAGGTAGCTATTTTCTCCAGGTGAACTGATCTGTATCTCCTGGAGATCAATTGTAATTTCAGGAAATCTCCAGCCACTACCTGGAGGTTGGTAACCTTCTTCTGATGGAAGGAGGATGACCCTCTTTGCCTGAAGCCTCTGCAGTGTGCAGGGAGGATTGACACACACACACACACCCCAGGGGGAAGAAGAGGCTGAAGGATCAAGTTCCTATGCCTAGGCTGGCCTTCCCTCTACACAGCTAGCACTAGACCACCTCTGCACAGAAACCCTAAGAACTAGTCCCTTTAAAATCATGTAGCGAACTCAGGGAAACACAGAAATCACAGCTTGTCCCCTAGCTCTGGTTTGTGAGTCTTTAACACCTACTGCCATAGCTGGGGAATAAGAATGCTGTGAAATATATGACATTTATTTTTATTTATTTTTATTTATTCCTCTAATTTGTACCCTGCCCTCCCTGCCAAGGCAGGCTCAGGGCGGCTTACAGACAATATGTTAAAACAGTTAAAACATCATAATTAAATAAAATTGCAACAATACCAAATCCTCATTAGCTACATAGATGTTCTATGAGGAGTAGAGATCCAGCGTGGTAAGGGTATTGGACAAGTATTTCGGGGATCTTGGCTCCAGTCACCACTCAGCCATGAAGTGGGCCAATTGATCTTGTCTAGGGTTGCAAACTTCCTGAGATTACAACTGATCTCCAGGCAACAGAAATCAGTTCACCTGAAGAAAACGGCCACTTTGGAATGTGGAGGAGGAGGAGGAGGAGGAGGAGATTGGATTTACACTCCGCCCTTCACTACCCAAAGGTGTCTCAAAGAGGCTTACAAACTCCTTTCCCTTCCCCTCCCCACAACAGACACCCTGTGAGGTAGGTGGGGCTGAGAGAGCTCTTGACAGAAACTGCTCTTTTTCAAGAACAGCTCTTATCAGAACTATGGCTTGCCCAAGGCCATCCAGCCAGGTGCCAGTGGAGGAGTGGGGAATCAAACACGGTTCTCCCAGATTAGAGTCCGCGCACTTAACCACTACACCAAACTGGCTCTAAGGCATTACGTGCTATTGAAGTTCCTCACCTCCCCTGCTCTTCTCAGGCTCCACCCCCAAAATCTCCAGGTATTTCCTAACCCAGAGCTGGCAACCCTGCCTCAGTCTTTATTTTATTTATTTATTTATTTAATTGGATTTTTAAACCACCCTCCCCTGTAAAGACACGGCTCAGGGTAGTGTACAACAATAGAATAGAATAAATATATAATTGAAATAATAAAAATACAATAAAAACAGAACGATCAGCCTCATAGATGATGCTTAGAACTTCCAGTTGTGCTACTCCTTCACGGGGGAAGGCAGGGAATGGCAAGGGCTGGGAGTGCCAGACAGATGGAACCACTGCTGTACTTAGAGATGCCAGATCCCCCCCCGGGGGGGGGGGTTGCCCACTCTAGCAGCTCCCAACCCACTGGCTTGGATCAGCCAGCAGGGGGAGCCCCACCTCCAAAGTGCTTGGAGCGGGCCAATGTGTTCTGCGCAATGATGTCACCCAGAGGTGATGTCATCATGCCAGGCACATCACTGGGGGGGGCACTCTAGCATTCAGCCTGAAAACTCTGTGGTATCATACTTCAGGTGATGTCATCGTGGTGTGAGTGCACTATGTGTGCCTGCACAAAACTCCCGGACTGGGAGCCTCTTGCCCCCACTAAAAAAACAGTAAGGACCTGGCAACCCTAGCTGTCCTCAACTAAAATTCTGGCAGAACACCTCTGCCTTACAGATCCTGTGGAACTGCATTAGGTCCCCCAGGGTATGGATGTTGTTCAGCAGAGAGTTCCATCAGGTTGGAGCCAGGGCAGAAAATGCCCTGTCTCTGGTCAAGGACCGCTGGATATCCCTCGGGCCAGGGACCACCAGCCTAACCTATCTAACAAGGTTGTTGTGGATAAAACAGAAAAGGGAAGGTTCCTGTATACCAACATGAGCTCGTTGGAGAAAGGGTGAATTAAAAATTAGATAGATATGATCCCTGGGCTTTTTGATACATATTCTTGATATAAAGCCTTTAGTGCACCCATCCATAAATAATTTGCTTCCTTCTTGTATACTATTAATTCAACTATGATTAGATTGTTGCCATCAAGCCTCCAATCTGCAGACCTTTGTCTATGCCCTCCAACTTGGTGCCAGAACCAGCTCTTCTCCCCTAGTTACATGAGGTCACAAAAATGAGCTTTGGAGCATCTCCAAGACAAAGGCTGTAGAGAAGAGATACAGTCACATGTACACCTACTTTAATGTCATTGTGCTCCCTGGGAGACAAATGCTGTCTGACAGCACCCTTCCGTCTGGTCTCACATCAATAATCTGGACCTCGCAGAAATTAATAAAACTGCATTTAGACCTAAAAGATCTTATTACTTTGACATTCATGCTAACAAAAACCTAGTTTCATATTAGCTAAAAGCTCTTCCTCTCTATCCCTGCCCCATCTTCAAGTCCAAGAAAAAAAATCTTTTGTTTCAATTTCAGGCTGATAACTGAGGCCAAAATCTACCTTGCAGTGTGCATTTCTGGTGATACCTCACACCTTCCCCACACGCCCCATGTAGAGCCACTAAAACTTCCCATTCCTGCTTTACATAAAATGCCTCTCTGTTCTCTTCTCTAGATCTCTGCCTGCATTACTGCTTGGGTCACTGCCTCAGACCCCCAGCAGACAGATAATGATCATAATGCCCCTGTATAAATCAATGGTGCGACCTCATTTGGAGTACTGTGTACAGTTCTGGTCACCACACCTCAGAAAGGATATTATAGCATTGGAAAAAGTGCAGAAAAGGGCAACTAGAATGATAAAAGGGTTGGAACACTTTCCCTATGAAGAAAGGTTAAAACGGGGCTCTTTAGCCTGGAGAAATGCCGGCTAAGGGGTGACATGATCGAGGTTTATAAGATTATGCATGGGATAGAGTAGGTAGAGAAAGAAGTACTTTTCTCCCTTTCTCACAATACACGAACTTGTGGACACTCAATGAAATTGCTGAGCAGTCGGGTTAGAACAGATAAAAGGAAGTACTTCTTCACCCAAAGAGTGATTAACACACGGACTGCCGCCACCACACAGGAGTTGGTGGCGGCTACAAGCATGGACGGCTTCAAGAGGGAATTAGATAAACATATGAAGCAGAGGTCCATTAGTGGCTATTAGCCACAAGGTGTAGATAGGAACTCTCAGTCTGGGGCAAGTGATGCACTGTATTCTTGGTGCTGGGTGGGGGGCAACAGTGTCCTGGCCCCACTGATGGACCTCCTGATGGCACCTGGTATTTTTGGCCACTGTGTGACAGAGTGTTAGACTGGATGGGCCATTAGCCTGATCCAACATTGGCTTCTCTTATGTTCTTATCCCGCCTCCCTATATTTGTTTAGTGGCTTTAGATCTCATCTACCATGACATCATATGCACCCCCTCAATTTATCTTTTCAATTATTGGCTTGCCAGATGTTTAGAAACTGGCATGTGGGATATTTGCTCTTTAATGTGAGCATTCTAGTATTTGGTGCTATTTGACATGCCTGGCATTACTGTGAATACTTAATAGTGCCTTTAAGCATAGGTATATCCAGATCTCAGTGTTTCTTTTAAATTTGCACAGACGTCTCATCACCATTGTTTATATGGGCTATCCCCTTAAGCTAGGTGTAAAACCCAGACCAGCAGTTCTTTTTAACATAAGAATGGGAGGTGGGGGAAAGGGTTTTCTTTGTTACACCCAGACTTTCCCATAGTGAATATGGGCCTTAATGAAAAGTGGGTCTCATTCACATGGATATATGTCTAAAATACAGGTGTCTTCTGGACCCGATATGGTAATAAACTCATTAAATTTATCTTGGTCATAATCCACATAATGTGGAGTATTTACCGTAGGTTACCTTGTTTTTATCTAGTGTGGTTTTATTGCACTGATTTAGAAGTACAATGACTCTTTGTACCTCTAGCTTTCTGCATTTGCTCTATTATTTTCAGCTCTATTATTTTCAAAGGACTCACACAGCAGCTTTGCAAGATTGTGCAATTATGCACAATATAAACAAAATATTTTCTTTCTTTTGTATTATAACCTCACATTGTGAACTAGGAATAGCACAAATGGGGGGATACATGCACGTTGCACACATGTCCATGCCTATTAGGTACCAAGGAAAGCAAAGTCTACCAATAGGTAGTAATCCACAAAACACTTTTGAAGGATGGTATGGTGAAATAGGAAGGTTACTGAATTTCCATTAACACTATGTAAATAGCTTCTCAGCTGCTTAAATGGAAACAGTGCAGATCAGACATATCTTTCATATGGCTCAAGTAGGCAGTGATCCATAGCAAAAATATAAAGCAGATAAGGCCTAAAGCTATGAGCCTAAAAATTGCAGCTCCAACATATTTAGGACTGTAACCAAATATTTGCTCAGGGACAATTAAGTATAGAATGAAAGAAGGATTTGGTATGGTTTTCTTTCAAACTAGTCCACATCTGAATTCCTACTCTGCATGAAAATAATCGTTATGCACTTTGTTTCCGTGCTCTGGTGTTCAGCTAATGCATCAGAAGTTCAGAAAACCCTTTCTTTGGGTTTTGAGATTCATGAAGTGTTCAGAGCAGCTACATCCTGCTACACGAACAGAAACAAGATGCTGTGAGGGGATACACTTCAAAGCCCAGTTCCTCCACTCACCAAACCAAGCCTGTTGCTCTCCTTCCACTTCAATGGCAAGTCCAAAGTCAGCCAATTTAACAGCAGCTCCCTTCAGTTTGGATGCCAGTAGAAGGTTCTCCGGCTATAGGAGGAAAAAGAGACCAATCAGCATTCAATAAGGAGATGAGAAGATGAAGAAAACAAAGTGCAATGGCATGTGCAAGTGACCAAGGTACTGACAGAAGCTGCAGCCTCTGTCTTAGAAGAATATGTGCCCCTTCACACACACATGTGCATGTCCTTTTAATGTGCACTCAAGCGACTGTCAGTTTCTGCAATGACAAAGTCACACATACGATTAAGCAAATGTATTTCATGTTACCTAATTAATTTGAGCCAAACCGAATATTTGAAGACATCTTGATCACCAGGTGGAAGGCTGGTAGAAAATTAAGCTTGTCTCATTGAATGAAATGTATTGTTATTTAAAAAAGCAGTTTCTGTACAGTTGCTATGGCTTTCTTGCTAATGCAATAAAGATTATTATTAAAAAGCAGTTCTGTAATCACATGTCTCCCAGACATGTTACACCAGATCCCTTGTTGTATAAGGCAGAACAAGATAGTTTGTTTCCACACAGGGCACGTTTTATGCAGTTTCCCCATTGCTGCTGCAGCTGCCAATGTAGCATAGCAGCGGGGCTTCTACAGGACAAGTTTCCCCACCCAGTCTTTCAGCAGTGGCCATTCCTTCTTCCTTGTGTGTGTCACGTTCTCTGAATCTCAGCTTTTCATTTAAAAGAATTCCCTATCCCCTTTAATTACAGAGATATGCCTCTCCCCCCCTTTTTTTTCAGATAAAGGGGTCAGGAACTTATTTTTTTTAAAAATGGAAACTGGAAATTCAGAGAATGTGATGCACATATTGTTATAGCACTATATCGATATACTGATATTCAGTTGCTGATTTTGAAAAAGCCTCCTGCTGGTGGGAGGAAGGCCACCAGACATATGGGTGGGAAAATGCAAACTTTCCCACCATCACAGCAGTAGGAATGCCATCCCCACAATGGGGATGGTAAATACCTTGCTCTCAGGTCCTGTTTCCCGCAGCTGCTCCAAACAACAGCAGGAGAACAATATTTTTAAAAAGATAGGCCTATGGCATGATGTCACTTCCAAGAAGACCAGGAATTGATGTCAGTCCTCTCTAGAAATTGTTGGAGAGGACTGACATCACTTCTGGGTTTTCCCCAAAAGAGACATCACACCATTGCTGCCTGGCTCCCCATCCCTCCTCCCAGGTTTTCCATTGGTTACCAGACTGGGCCTGACAACCCTACATGGCAGCCATCCAGGGTTTACTGCAATATTTCCCCAAACTGCACAGCAAAGTAGATATGAGAAAGATTGGCGAAAGCCAGAGAAACCCTGAGAGATGTACAATGCACCATTATGCTGTGGGGAAGCAGGAAAAAAAACCCCACAGACTCTCATAGTTATGCTGCCCTCCAAATTCTACCATTCCCCAAACTCATTAATTTATAAACAAGGAGAGTCAGTTTAAATGCATAGCCATCATCCAGATATTAATACTGCAACTTAAGCACTTTACACTGTCAAGTTTGTGGATCTATACACATCTGAAACTTCATGCTAGGAAAAAGTCTAAATTAGAACAGTTGGTGGCTTTAAAAGTTATGTTCTGAAAAGCTCCTGTCTCATTCCTGGCCTACAGTATGGTTTTCTTCTTCTCTTAAGTGGAGAAGTGTCATGCATTTGGACTCTCTAACATTGTTTAATGGGCTGCTCCTGTATTTATCACAGGATATAGTTAAGTTCTCTCTTTGGCCCCTGCCACATGGGGCGGAAAGGGACGTGCTGAAGCGCGGCTTCTGAAAGCCGCACCAAAAGAAACACGCCACGGCAGGATCACATTGATCCCCTGAGCCGTGGCGCATTCCCTCCCCGGCACGATCAGATGCCAGGGGAAGCGATGGAGGGGAACGGGAGACTGCCGAACTGCGCATGTCTGAGCATGCGCAGTTCAGGCAGGAGCCGGGGATGCACCGGCAGAAAGTCGGGCCGGCAATCCCATGGCCGGCGTTGATGCGGCCGTCGTGGATGAACCACCTCAGTAGGTGGTTCATTTTTGATGCGTTTTTTCGGGGGAAGGGCCGGATCGGGGACGGGTGCGCAACGCTGCCCAGATGTTGCAGTGGGATCGCGCCCGTTTGCTCCAGCCCCAATCCGGCCCACTCCCGGCCCAAAACCCCTTGTGTGGACAGGGCCTTAAAAGTAGGTTATTTTGGCATTTCAGATTCAGGGCAACCCCATAACGCATGCGAAGTCTTATAACAACCATTCTGGAGCTGCTCCCCACAACAATGACTTTCCTCAAGATACAAATTAGTCTCTAGTTAGCCCTTCTCTTGCTAAAAACGAAAGTGCTGAATTTATGATGCTGGAAACCTTTCTCCTTAACTAAGAGCGGCTGTTTATTTAGGGCATTGTCTCTGGGAAACCATTAGGCTAACAGGCACTTTGAGGTTATCAAGTGCTTTCAGATGTTATGCAATCAGCTCAGATGTAGAGCAGTTTCATGTTCAGTTAAAAAGGTATTTATTTAAGGTGATTTCTGACATCCCATAGCAAGCTGCTGGAGTGGCCAGCTGCAATTTGGGGCCTATCATCTCTTAGTCAGGGGTGTCAAACATGTGGCCTGTGGGCCAGAACCAGCCCGACCAGGGCTCTTATCTGGCCCATGAGCAAATGGTACGAGGGAGGGAAGGCAGAAGGCTGCTGGGGAGGGTGAGCAGGTGAGAAAGCACATGTGGTGAGGGGTGTGTGTGGTTGAAGCTGTCAAGGAATAGAAAGGAAACGGCCAGGGACAGGACTAAGAGGTTGAGGTAACATAGTGTGGGGGGGATGACAGTGAAGGTGGAGAAAGAGGACCATAGCTCAGCTGCCTCTGACCATAGCTCAGCAAGGACTGGCAAAGCCACTAATGGGTGGGGGGGGCAGAGCCAAGCAGCCAGTGGCTCTACCAAACAACAACCATGGGGGGGGGGTTGGTGAGAGTGGGTGAGAGTGGGCAGAGCAGTGGTTTGCTGATGAGGGGATGAGGCCAGCAAGGGAGAGAGGAGGAGGAGGGCTGGTGCGTGGATTGGGAGGCAATTGGGCTGTCTTGTGCATGCCATTCAGAGGGGAAAGACATTCCAGCCTTGGAAGTGAGTGGAGGAGTGAAGGGGAAAAGGGGTGCCGATGTTGCTGTGGCTCATCTAAGCAGCACAGAGCTGGGAGGCAGAGTCAGTGTCGGAGTTGGGGAGGGATGGTGACCTCACTTCTCTTCACCAACCTGTTCTCAGACCATGAGGAAAAAGCTGTCATGGGGGGACAAAATGCCTCCCTAAAGGCTTGGGAAGCAGCCTCTTCATCAAGTGGGGGGATCTTGGATAGCCAGGTTCAACCCCCCCCCCCGTTCTGAGCCAGGACCCTGTTGTCTGGATCAACTTGGACCAGTTGCTTAGCCTGGACCACCTCACATGGTTGTTATTGTTGGTGGGAATGGTGTAGCGGACGGGGGAAGTCCAGTGTGCCTCCTTGAGATCCTCAGAGGTAGTATGGGGAAGACAGGAAACAAAGAGTGAGAGAAGGATTGTAGCCATGCTCGTCTGCTGAGGTTGGGCATATGGGGTTGGGGGGGGTGTTGGCTGTAAAATTACTTTATTTAATCACAAGGAAGATAACCCATCTTCTAAAAGTATTATGTATAAAAAAAGCAGAGGTCATTTCGGGGGGGAACGCAGTTCCCCCGGGTGAGGTGCAGGGGGGCGGGGCACATGACGAAGCCCCGCCCCCTGCTTCCGGCCGCCCCGCTTCCAGCCCTCATTCAGCCAGGAGGAGGCAAGAGAAGAGGGAGGGTAAGTTGCTTCCTCCCCGCCTCTCCCCACCCCTGCCTGCCTGGGGCCAGGGAGGGCCTTGGCGTGGCCTCCTCGCACTCCCGCTGGCCTTGCAGGTCCACTGCCGGGCCCCTGATGTCAGGGGGTGTGGCATATGCTAATGAGTTATGCTAATGAGTTCCCCTAGCTCTTTTTCTACGAAATGACCCCTGACAAAAAGTAACAAATTTGTATGGAAATGTAAGGTATCCCTTGGAAGAAACCTAGTCTTGCATGTGATTAAATACATTTATTGAGGCTTGTGTGGGTTCCCCAGTAAATCAATTGCTTTCACTCCCAGGAATCAATTGCTTTTGTTTGTATTCTGAGTAAATATATATATATATATCATTGATTAGGTTTGCCTGTGTCCTTGATAAAGTTTATATCTCCAGTACCTGGTATTACATTTTATGGCACACATGACCTGGCCCAACAAAGTGACATTTATGCAGATTTTGACACCTCTGCTTAGATTGAGTTAGACTGACAATGACTGACAAGGCTTAGAGCAACGATAATGAAGAAGCATCAGAGTTTCTTCTGTGCTATGCTGCCTGACTCTACTATCCCATTCAGCAATGTTATTAATATGACTATTTCAGTTGCAGTAGCCAGCATGGAAACAGCTAACTGGCTCAGTAATCCCAAAACAAACTGCATGCACAGCAGACCAACTAGTGCCAGCCCCTATTGATTCCCAGGTAGTACCTGGAGTGTTTGCAGTATGAGTGCAAATAGGTTGCAACTGTTTTGTATGTCTGAATGACCAATGCTTTTAAATGGAGATGTGAAACCAGCTTCTTTCATGGGAAATTACTAGATCGGAGTGTCAACCTATGGCCCATGGGCCAGATCCATCTGGTCCAGGACTCTTATCTAGCCCATGAGCAACTGGCCATTACCTTTATTGCCAGATGACAGAGCGTGTGCATTATGTCCCTGTATACTGTCCAAGTGCTAATGAGTAACAGGCGGTGGAAGTGAGCGGGTAGGCATCAGGGAGATACTTTGAGGAAATACTGTAAGATTGTTCATGCTTTAAGAAGGTTGGTATTTTGAATTTTTAAAAAATGTCATTAATTTGGTTTGCCTGGGTCCTTTATAAAGTTTATATCTCCGGTACCTGGCATTACATTTTATGGCACACATGGCCAGCCTGACAAAGTGACATTTATGTCAGATCCAGCTCTCCAAATGAGTTTGACACCTCTGTACTAGATCTTATATTGGGTTGGTGCTTTTCCTGCAAATTATCAGTGGAGGAACCAATATGGTAGGAAAGAGGTCACATCACTGGGACTTGCTTGCACATTCTATCCCTGTGTCCACAACCCCCAAGTACTGAATTCTTCCTTTGTAGGAAGGCACCTCCCCTTCTTGGGTTGCCAACTCCTGTTTGTGATATATCTGGAGATTTTAGAGGTGGATCCTGGGGAGGGCGGGGCTTGAAGAAGAAGAGGAGGAGGAGGAGATTGGATTTATACCCCACCCTCCACTCAGAGTCTCAGAGTGGCTTACGAACTCATTTCCCTTCCCCTCCCCACAACAGACACCCTGTGAGGTAGGTGGGGCTGAGAGAGCTCTGACAGAAACTGCTCTTTTCTGACAGAACTATGGCTTGCCCAAGGTCATCAACCAGCTGTGAGTGGAGGAGTGGGGAATCAAACCCGGTTCTCCAAGATTAGAGTCCACACACTTAACCACTACACCAAACTGGCTCTCTGAAGAGGGGAAGGACCTCTGCAGGATATAATGCCATAGAGTCCACCCTCTAAAGTAGCCATTTTCTCTATGTGAACAAATCTCTGTCATCTGGAGATCAGTTGTAATTCTGGGGGATCACCAGGCCCCACTTGGAGGTTGAAGCAGCCCGAGCTGCAGTGTTAGGAGAGTCTAGTAACAAATAAATATACACTGCTTCATGACCTGGCCCAACAAAGGGGAAGCCAAGGAAAGGCTTCCTTTTAGCAAACTAATGTGTTCTATTTATGGTCATCATTTAGTAAAGTGCATAGTGTATCATTATTTCATCCTAGTCAGGTATAAATATTCATTACATTCAATAAGCAATAACATTCAATACATACAGATTCCTAACTACCAAACAAATTTGCATCAGTGTTTTAAAAGTCAAGCCCCAATGGGAGTTTCTAGAATTATAAGTCCACTTCTCCTTGCATTAAGTCTTCCAAAAAGTGGGACAGCCTTCTTGTATGGATGCTTTTTGCCAGTCCTACAAAAGATACATTATGCAGCTAACATTCATGGACGGAGTACTCCTTTAGAATGACAGGTAGTTAGGAATCTGTATGTATTGAATGTTATTGCTAAAAGGTTTTTGCAGTGTATATTTATTTATTACTAGACCCTCTTGGAGGTTGACAACACTATCCCCTTCCCAAACCCCACCCTCCCTGGTTCCAATCCCAAATATCCAAAAATTACCAGAGACTCAGGCTAAGTAGGACCTACCCCAGCACACTGGAGGGAAAAGCCGCGTGGAGAGAGGAAAAAGAGCACCAGTGATCTGAACTCCTTCTCTCAGGACAGAGGCCTGTCAAGACCACAAACAATAAGGCCCAGAGGGCACACCACGCACTGCCCTTCCAACCCAGATGGCACTGCAGATGGCCACTAGATTACAAAATTATTTATTTATTGGTACATATTGTAAGCCGCCCTGAGCCTGCCACGGCGGGGAGGGCATGATAAAAATGTAATAAAACAAATAAATAAATAAATTATACTGGTTTTATTCCAGTTTTACTATAACCAGGGCTATTTTTGGGCAGGAACGCCCAGGAACGGAGTTCCGGCTGGCTTCAGAGTTGGCCACGCCCACTACAGCCAAAACCTCTGTGTGCATGGCTACAGAGGGAAGGCCTGGAGAGCGACCCCCCCCCGGTGACTCTGAGGCGGGCAGGCCAGGGGGCCCCTGGAAGGATCGAGGAGGCATTTAAATGCCTCCCTGTGCCTTCCCTGGCCTGTCCAAGGGCCAGCTTGCCCAGGCTCCCCACAACTGTGGGCGCCTGGGCAAACCAAGGGAAGGCAGTTTAAACTGCCTTCCCTTCCCTTCAAGGGGGGGCTTACTCAGGCTCCCTGCAGCTGCAGGGTGCCCGGGGAAGCCAAGGAAAGGCATGGGGTATGGCTTAACATGCTAATGAGCTGCACTATCAGGGTGTGGCCTAATATGCTAATGAGTTTATGCTGTTGGGTGTGGCCTGTTATGCTAATGAGTTCCTGCTGGGCTTTTTCTACAAAAAAAGCCCTGACTATAATTGATTCCCTTGACAAATTCTGGGAAGTATAATTCAGTGAGAGATCTGAAAATTTAAAATTACAGATCCCTAGCACCCACCCACATACACACACACACATGAACACAGAGCTATAGTTCCAACTTCCCAGAGGTCTCCTGGGGAGAAGGAATGACTCTTTAAACCAGTTGGCATATATAATGTGTAAGGTTGCCAGCTCTGGGTTGGGAAATACCTGGAGATTTTGGAGGTGGAGCCTGAGGGGGAACTGGGGAGAGGAGGGACTTCAGTGGGGTATAATGTAATAGAGTCCCTCATCCAAAGTGGCCATTCTATACAGGTAAACTGATCTCTATTGCCTTCGGATCTCACTTCCTGTCAGTCTGCTGGCCCCGGAGGTAAGCTCTGAAGATATTTAAATGCCTTTGGAGCCCGCACAAACCATCCCATGAACCTCCACGAAAAACATGGAGGTTCACGTGGCAAACTGTGGAAGACATTTTCTCCCGAAGCCCTGGTTCACAAACCAGGAACCAGCCTGGTTCATGCATGTGTCAAATTTGGTGTGGGGCCCTGGAGTCGACCCGCTCGTGACCGTGGCATCGGCCCTGGGAGTTGGAAAGGGTTTGTAAAGGAGGAGGTTGCAGAGGGGCCTCAGATAAGCAGGGGACAAGGTTATGGTCACCCCGTAGGTCCCTCTGCGAACGTGCGCTGAGCACCTAGGGTCCTGTCTTTCTCCCTCTCTCTCCATCTTGTTGTTCCTTCGCACTATCCTCCTCCCCGTCCCGTCCATTTCTCTCTCCTTTCATCCCCTGCCCCACTCCCAGTGCCGCCTGTAATCCCCACCTCCCCTATTCCTGGTCTGGCCCTGCCCCCCTTGATAAGCACGGACGCCTTCTGGCTTTCCCAGGTGGGGCTGTAGGTGTGCCAGCAACGGTCCTGTCGGCCCGGGGGCTGCGCCGCTGGTGCAGTGGCATAGCTTCACAATCGCACACGCCCTTAGCCCTTCCTCAGCAGCCTCTGCTTTGCTGCTTCCCAGGATAGAGCTCCAAGGCACCCGACCGCGTGGCCGTGCCCTGCCGGTGTGGCCACTTCTCCTTGGGTCGGTGCTGGTCATTTCCCCCCGGGGCTTCCCACTGCGAGGCGTCACGTTGTGGTCCCATCGGTCATTGTGATGTCGTCACTGCCTTGCTCTTCTGCTGTTGCCCGGGTGAGTAGCCTGGTCAGGGTGTCCCTGGGGGGTGGGGTCCTCATCCCGAGGCTCCTGGACTGGGACAGCATGAATCATGGTACATTTATTGGTTCGTGCCCATCCATAGAGACAAGGTTTTGAATGGGGCATCCACAATTCTGTGACCACCAATCTGACCCTTTTAAGACTACAAGGGTTACATATGGAAGTTGTTGTTTTTTTTGCTTAAGTATTCAATTACATTATCCTCACCTATAGTCTGAAAAGGTACAGCCCAGATACAGGTTTACTATATCAGTGAGAACCAGGCCAAGTGTCCCATGAATCCACAAATATTAGCACAGAAGTCTACATTACAGATAGTTCCATGATTTTACCAACTTTTAAAACAGAATGCAACCACTGTTGCTATAATATTTAAGAAGATGCAGTCACACGTGCAGGAGCATGCGTGCACGCACACATCCAGGTCCTTTTCACTTTGCTTGGGAAAGCTCCCAGATATTCCACTGGACCATGGAGATAAAAACAGCTTAGGGGTGGTAATTTTAGTGGGAAAATGGTATGAAGACAAAAGGTTAAATAGCTCCTTCTACCCCACAGCAGTTGTCTCCTTTAAATTGCAACCTTGATAGCTTCATTGTAAACATGAAAACGACCATGTAACTATACATAAACATAGCTTTGCCCTGAGACAGAAGGTCAAGTGCTTCAGCCACTGAGCCATTCTATCTCTGGGAAAGATATCCCATAATTAATTATCCACAGTTTTTTGTTAGATAAAGGAATTTTAGAGTAAAAGTATCCAATCTTCATGCATAAAACATAACCAGAGGGATGTTCTAGATCTCCAATCTTTTACCTTTAAGTCCCGATGCACTACACCCATCTGATGGCAATGTAAAACAGCTTCCAGGATTTGCTGGATGCAGTGGCTAGGGAGAAGGAACATTGTCAATGCCATGTATGGGGTAGGGAGTTCAGTGGAGGTTGAATGTTTAACAATTCCATCTTTTAAATTTACATTTTGCCCACAGCTTCCATAAGCCCATTGCCTTTTGCCTGCTGCCAATGTTGGAGAATGGCTCAGAGCCTTACATATTCTGGTTTGCTGCAGGATGGAAAACAAAAGAATAAATCTGATTGCCCCTGAGACTCTACTAGGGAACTCCTTAGAGTCATTCAGACTCCTCTGGTGAAAACCAGGAATGGAACACTGCCAGTTTCTTTATGAGATTGCAAGATTGCTGAAGATAATGAGCAAAAACAACTTGATCAGTTTTATACGGAAATGAGTGCAGTGGATGGAATGGTAAAAGTAAAATCCACTGTTTCCATATTAGTAGATTTTCTCCATGATAGTTTGATAAAACATACACATCATATTGCAGGCATGTGGAAAACAGAAAATGAGGACCCAGGTGCTAGAACAGACAAAACAGCTGTCTGCAAATGAAATTACTCTATTAGCATCCTTCAAAAATGTAAACAAAGTAATTGGCTATAATATTCTTGGTATACAGGAAATTTAATAAAAGCTATTTGAAGGGAAATTAAGATGATAATTTCGCCTGTAAGACTCAGGCTGTGATTTTAAATCCAGCTGAACTAATTTCAAAGTTTGGGTTGGACATCTTTAATTTTTTGAATGGCAGCGAATTGTTTTACCAGATGTACCAGCAGATATCTCCTAAGCCAGCTCTGCAAACTAGAGGAACAAAATTTGTCTCACACAGTAACCACCTACTCACCATTCTCCACAAATCCAAAACTGTGCTCAAGCCTAAACTAAAAGGTGGGAAATTTAACTTGCTTTGAAAATTTAGAATGCAATACAATTGAAACCAGTGCAAACCAAAACATCTTCAAATAATAGCAAATACACCCTTTATGATCAGGATTAGTGGATGTCTTCTTCCTCCTAATTGAATGAGAACCCTAAGCAAAGATTTACAGTCACACATCACCAGAAATAAAAGTGAAACAAAACCCTCTTGCAATACTGTCTCATACTGTAGTTAGATTCCAGTCCAGTAGCAACTTACAGACCACCAACCAGAGGTCAATTCGGGGGGGAATCGCGGGGGATCGCCATTCCCCTCGGTGAGGTGCGGGGGCGGGGCACATGACGAAGCCCCGCCCCCTGCTTCCGGCTGCCCCGCTTCTGTCCCTCATTCAGCCAGGAGGAGGCAGGAGAAGAGGGAGGGTAAGTTGCTTCCTCCCCGCCTCTCCCCACCCCTGCCTGTCTGGGGCCAGGGAGGGCCTTGGCGGGGCTTCCTCACACTCCCGCTGGCCTTGCAGGTCCACCACTGGGCCCCTGATGGGAATGGAGTCGCAAGGCCGCCAACGGCAGCTGGGACCGTTGGGGGCCGGGGGGGCTTTGTGGGGCTTCCTCGCACTCCCACCGGCCTTGCAGGTCCACCGCCGGGCTCCTCATGGGGCTTGGCAGTGGAGCCACAAGGCCGGCAGCGGCCGGGACCGTTGGGGGCGGGGGGCCTTCGCGGGGCTTCCTTGCATTCCCGTCGGCCTTGCAGGTCCACCGCCGGTGCTGAGTGCTTATGACACACTTCCAGTGATGTCAGGGGGTGTGGCCTTATGACACACTTCCGGTGATGTCAGGGGGTGTGGCATATGTTAATGAGTTATGCTAATGAGTTCCCCTAGCTCTTTTTCTACGAAACGACCCCTGCCACCAACGTTTTTGGAGTATGAGTTTTCAAGAGTCAAAGCTCCCTTTCTCTACTGCTACCCTCTAAAACTATCTGTTTATGGTCTTAATTGTTTTTAGATTAATTGTGTTAACTGTTTTTTATTGTTATATGCTTTGATGTTACCCGCCCTGAGCCCATTTGGGAAGGGCAGGATATAAATTTTAAAAATAAATAAAAATATCATAATGTAGTTGTAACTAAGGGAGCAGGTAGATGCAATGGAGAAATGAAGCAATGCAAGAATTTGTTCAGTGGTGCCATAGCAGGCTCACAGCCCTGTTTTACAAATATCAGAGACCAAGCTTTGTCTGACTGTTTCTGAGCATTTTTAGCTTCTCATACTCACCTGGCATCTGCTTCACTGTAGTATTCTCTGGCTACAATATCCTCAAACAGCTCCCCACCTGTGACCCTGCAAAGAAATTAAAGAACAATCAGCTCCAGTATTACAGTGATATAATATTGTCACCACCGCGTGTAAATCCTCCCGCCTTTTCTTGGTACAATTATTTGTCAGTGCAGCATTGTACAAGGATCTATGGGAATTAATCTCTGGTCCAACTGACGTGGATTGAATTACAGTTAGTGCCACCACTCTGCTACTATCCTTTGTCTATGTTTAACTTCAGCAGCAAACAGATGAACTTGCAAATAAAACTAGGTGCAGGTTGTACTAGTGCTACTACAGGATGAGCTGCGCTTGCATGGAGATTGCCTCTTCTGCTTGACTCCATGTTTCAGGTAGGCAGACCCCCTGCCTTTTTCTCTCCTCAAGCTAACCAAACATTTATTTTGTACTTTTTTAAACCCAAATTTTATATGCTTGAAAAAGCATTCCAAGGTGGACTGACACAAGGCCAACCAACCAGATTCAGTTCTTTACACAGCCCTGCTCCCAGATGAACTAGGGTTGCCATCCCCCCAAATGGGGGTGGGGTTTCCCCCATTTTGGGGGGCTCCCATCCACCACCCAGCTGGCTGGTAGGGGAGCCCTGTCCCCAAAGAGCTCTGGTACACCCAGGCCCGTAGCTATGATGGGGCTTTTGGGGGCTCCATCTCCTTTCTTAATGGCACAGCCCCACAAGAATTTCTCCAGTAAAGGCTTTTTCTAATAATTTAAAATCACTTTTAAAGGTGTGTGCTCCTTTAAGCAGAGTGGGGTGCTATAGTTGACTAATTCCTGCACTAAGCAAGGGGGTTGGAGTAGGTGGCCTCTAGGATCCCTTCTAACTCAGTCAAGAAACTGGTCTCCTTTAAGACAGTTTTGCTGCCTATGTTTTAGCTTTCTCAAATATAGAAGTCATCACCCCCACCTGCTGGCTTGTTATCAGAATTGTAGCTTAGGCTGGCAGAAGTGATTAACTTGCAGCAGCTGAGCACTGTCATCTAAAGGCGTTGACAGTTTGCAGTTTAGAGATCGATCCTGGTAACAGCTTTCTATTGGCTAAATGGCTTTTCTTTCTTCTCTGAGAACTTCAGCCCCACCAGAAAAAAAATTGGCCCCACAAGCCACAAAATCCTTGCTACGGGCCTGGGTGTGCCCGACATGACTGGTGTGAAGATGTCACCCGGAGGTGATGTCATTGCACTGGGCACATCATGTGGGGGACACTCTAGCATTTGGGTAAAAAGTCTATGGTGACCATAGAATTTTCTCCCAAATGCTAGAACGTCCCCTGCATGACATGCCTTAGTGCAATGATATCACTTCTGGGTGATATAATTGTGGTGTGCAGACTTTGTACACGCACCAAAGACTCCCAGACAGAGGACTGGAGCCCCCCAACAGCAGCCAGGTAAGACCTGGCAACCCTAAGACAAATGCAGATAGCTTCATGATTGAAGCAGGAATCCACAATCAGACCAGTGTGAATCTGTGTTACACGCCAAAAAGAAATTCACACCTTTATTCATGCCAGGTCTTATATAGTGCTGCTATCTAGCATAGGGGTCCCTGGTATATCGTCCATGGGCACTATCATGGTGTCCACCAACACCTTTCCTGGTGCCTGCCAAGAAAATGGGAGGTGCCAGGTGGGGATTTTGCCCAGCAAGACTTCTGACTGGCCATTGGAGATTTGATTCTCTGTGCAGATTTTTCTGGGCCACAGCACAAGAATCTTCACTGTGTGAATGAAAGGAAGCCATGGCAGCCATTTTGTGGCTGGCTGCACCTCCTGCAGCAGCCATTTTGTGGCAGCCATTCTGTGGCTGTGTCCACCACCATGTGTCAGAATTCCAAAGATGCTTGGAGGCTCAAAAAGGTTGGGGACCCTGATCTAGGACATTGCCCTGCCATTCTGTCAAGGAACCAGGTCAGTGTACAGGACCAGCTTGAATGCTTCTTTGTGAATTGCCACTGCACTGCAATGTCCGTGACATTACATAAGAACATAAGAGACGCCAATGTTGGATCAGGCCAAAGGCCCATCCAGTCCAACACTCTGTCACACAGTGGCCAAAAATACCAGGTGCATTTTGCTCTATCATTGTGATACCACAGCTTGCACTGGCCCCAGCGCTTCCTCCTTTTGTCTTACACAACAGACCACAGGATTGGCTGTTTGGAGGGAACTGCAAAGGTGTCTACCACAATATCTTGTCAGCTTAAAACCCAAGGCATAGGGGACATTATTTAAATGCATGAGGAATGTTTATCTCCTCCCACTTACGGACCCCGCCACTTCCTTACCACCCTAATCACATGCCTCCTCCGCATTCTTCTGATGCTGCACTTCCACTGCAGTTTTACACCCAGGGTAGCAGAGGAGGGACTTGGAAGAAGAGCAGCTAAGCAAGGAAGAGGAGATTGTGGGAGATGTATTTATGATTACTTAATTGCCAGTCTACTGTGTCTCAGAGGAGCAGGGCAGAAAACCTGCAGCACTAAGCATGTTCTTTAAAAAGAAGTCTGAGAACAGTACAGGAGCAGCTGACCCTCCAGAGGCCCCATGTTAAATATGCTAATTGTTGCTCTAAGGAGCTTGAAGGGCTGATCTGCATAAAGAGCTATGCTAATTCTCTTAAATTGGATGCCGCAAAACACTGTGTAAAATCTAATCTTCTTAGCAGCTACTGTCTCAACAGAGCTGACATATCTTACAAACCAGGAAGAGCCAAAGTGGACAGATCCGTAATCATATTTCTCACCTCTTTACATTTTTTTTAAACATGGGGGGGGGGGTAGACTGAATTGGATTGGGATCATTATGTTGTATAAAGGGGTTAACTCCTGTCCCCTCCATGCCATTTTCCTGGGCATATGTAAAGTAATTTTTTTCCAGCAGGGTGAAAGAAAAAAAAATGCCACAAATCTCCATTCTCAGTGGTTCACTGATGGGGAAAGCACCCCCTTTGGGTTACAGGTGGGGATGGGGGCTTCCCTCAACTCCCAGATTAAGCCCAGAATCTGAAAATGTTCCATCCCAGGGCTGCCAAGAACCCCCATAAGCCCTAGATAAATATTTGCCCATCTTCCCATCACCCATCCAAGGTATCATATGACCGGCCTGACTCCCAAGGTGATCAGGACTCCTTTGGTCTTATTTCTGAAATACCCCCCAAGCAGATTTGCCATCCTATCCTATAACTATAAAATCCAGCCAAATAGTCAGAATAGGTTACAATAAACTGAAATGTGACAAACTATGATAATTTTTGAGAAAAGCAAAACCAAAAACCAAAGACAATGAAGATCATCCCACTATATTTGAAGTGACTAAGCTTGGAACAAAACTGTGCTGAATATACCAACAAGAAGATAAAACTGTGGTTCCAGGGTGAGGTGGTCTGCTTTGATATTTCATCATTTTTGTTCTTTTTGCCGGTATCCCAACTTCAGAACCACTGGGAACCTATGTTCCCTCTAAGCTGTGGAGTCCTGTGAGCAGAAATTCTACTTTGTGAGCTACTGGCATTAAAGTTGTGAGTGAGTGATTTGGCTATTGCATAAATTAGTTTGCTCTGGAGCCATCCTTCCTGAGCCGAGACAAAAAGCTGTGAGCCGGAGGCTAAAATACTGTGAGCTAGCTCACACTAACTCAGCTTAGGGAAAACACTGCTGGGAACAGAAATTCATGCTAAGTCAACGTTTCCCTTTCTGCAGCTTTGTTGGGAGTGGCAAAAGAATGAATGGAGAGAGGAAGCCCTAGCACCATGCTCCTGAGCCATTTGGGATTCTGTACACTGTGGCTACTTTTAAAATAAATTTAAAGAAACAGGATCATGGATCTCCAACCTCCTGTCTAGCTTGTTCCTAAGATCCATCAATGGTGGCTCACCAGAGGCTAGAGAAAGACAATAGTTTACTCTTTATGAAAGTTAAAACTAGTTTAGCAGAGCCATCACTGTCTATGCTGGACATTCTCATTTCTTTTGTGCCACCATCTGCTGTAGTCAAACGCATTTTGCATGTTGGACTCAAGATGCTTATGAGACAGGGAAAAAATAAGTGTACATATCTTGAACAAAAATCTATAATAGTACATTGAACTTGATGGAGAAAATAGCTCCTTGTGCTGTGTTTGCAGTTGTGAGATGGAAGAGGAAAGGTGAGACTGCTCATGGAGCTTTGCAAAATACTCCACATACCTATGAGGATTTCTGTATTTTCCACTAACACTTACAGGTCAAATATCAGATAGTGGTGTGCCTCTTCTGATATGCTATCATGGAGTCTCACTGTAAAGACAAAATAGATTAGGTTACCAGCCAGAATAAAATTCTCATTCATTTAAAAAAAGGCTCCTTTACCTCTATCATTAGATTTTAACTTACTTCATTTGTGCAACAGAGTACAAGTACAGGAACCTGGATGGGGATCACCAGCTCAGCTTCATCTATATTTCCCCTCGCCCCCACCAAGCAACCTATTTTATTTTGCTAAATGGTAACAGAGATAGCATGCCCAAAGCACAAATGTGAACATTGTCTCTCTCACACACACACAGGGTCCTGGGATCACACAGAAACCTTAACAGAGCTTGACAAGAATTGCAGTATTTCAGAGCAGTCTTTGTGTCTGAATATTGTCATGCAATAGAAATAACATTTGGATACAAGCCAAAAGAGGGAGAAAAGGTGTGAATTTAAACTAGAGAAAGGGTAACCTTATGGCCATCATAAGATCCTTTCTGTGTACCCAGACATACACTAAATAGATTTACATTGCAGCTCAGCATGTGGTGAAGTACTCAATTTTATTTCATTTTGGGCATCACTGTGGTCTCCATCCAAACTTCATCCCCTCCAGGTGCTATTTATATAAATTTAAAGAGATGGGTGATCTGAGCTTGGTTTTCCATCTTCTCATCTAGTTGCACAATAAGATAAGCCAAGTTCATTTTGTCACTCAGTTCATTGGTGGCAATCTGGGCACATGGTGAAGTGTTCAAACTTTAGACCAAATGCTCAATTACAATGTGAATTCACTCTTCCCCCACATCTCAGCACCTGAGAGAGAATGCAAATGATGAGCAACCTCCACATTCAGAGGCAGTATACCTCTGATTACCAGAGGCTGCAGATTAACAAGAATAAATGTATTTCAGCTTCTCATTTTGCTTCAAAATGTCATTGAGGCATTGAGGTACTCATTTGCATATTAAGTGACACACCCCTAATGTAGCCAATCCTCCAAGAGCTTACAGTAGCCCCTGTAAGAAGAGCTCTGTCAGCTCTTGGAGGATTGGCTACATTAGGGGAGTGTGGCCTAATATGCAAAGGAGTTCCTGCTACAAAAAGAGCCCTGCGAGAGGGATCTTTGATCTCACCTAGCATGGAAATTTACATTCATATGAGAATGAGGTCTTAGGCTGCGATCCAAAGCAATCTTAGCTGGCAGCTCCATTGAAATTCATCATTATTGCTTAGATACATCTAGGATCAGGATGAAACTGAGGAATCTATTGTCCGAGATTCCACATGGACACATGAAGCTGCCCTATAGAGCTTGGCACAAAAGTTACAGTGAATGCACATACAATCCATGTTTAGTGTACACTTGATTTTTCTTTATACATGCACTGAATAATTTTCATGTTACATTCAGTACATGTACAACTCAACATGTGATTTAAATGCTACATTTATCCAAGTACTGGTCCACAGTTTCATTTGTAAAGTGACCGTGTATGGACTGTTTCTTACAAATGGATGTACACTGCATCCCTGTAACATGTGAATGGGGCTACTAAGTCAGACCACTGGTCTAGCAAGGTCGGTACTGTTTCCTTTCTTACATGGGCTTCCCAGAGTCCCAGGCACCTACTATTTGATCTTTAGACTGGAGATGCTAGAGATTGAACCTGGGACCTGATTTCCCTCCATTGAGCTACAGCCCATTTCTCAGGAAAGAACAGAATTAGTGCCTTAGTGTGTTTTAGGCACAGGATAACTGAATTTAAGATGCATACTTGGACTAAGTGACAGATAAGGTTCCTTCTAACATTAAGCACTCTGTTTTCTGGCCAGAAGCTAACAACAGCTAATGGATACTCCCAACCAAATAACAGTATAGCTTATTTCCCTTTCTCTCAAGCCTAGTTTTTCCCAAAACCTGATTATGGCCCTGTTCACACGGAGCATTTGCTGCACTGAAGGCACGATCGTCCCGTGGATTTTCCGGGCGCGATCACACCGGAACATCTGGGAGGCGTAGCACACCTGTGGCTAACCCGTGGCTTCTCGCCGAAGATGCGGAGTAAAAAACTACCACATACGAGGTACTAGTTTCCGGAAAACGCGGGCAAGGGCGGGCGTCTGATCGCGTTTCCGCATGAATCCTGTGGCATCCAGCACTCGTCCATGTCCCGTTGCAAACCGGATGTGGTTTTCTTGTAAGTCTCTACAGGATGCACACAAACTATCATGCACATGTGCAAACTTCGTCGAGAAAAAAAATTTCAGTTTGCCACGGAAGTGGTGCCTAGTGATTGCCCATGTGATCGCACTGCGCCGCTTCTTTGCCACTCTGCAGGATAGCCGTGTGATCGGCACCTAACAGCCTAACCACGGGACCTCGATGGAACATGTGATCGGGCTGCTGCACGTTACTTTGCTCCAGGGCTAACAGCCCCCCCCCCGCATTTTCCGGTCCATGTGATCGGGACCTATCATCATTAACCCAGAGTTTTCCCCTTCAGCTTGGTGGATTAACAGCTTAATAGGCAATCCTACAAAGATGGTATCCAAGCAAGTATGGTGCTGCTTGAATTGATCTTATGTTCTCTTGTGACTTTCCTTTCTCCTTGTGGGAACTAGTTATCAGATTAGTTTTGTCTCCTTTTGTATCAGAGGGAATACTCCTCTTTCACCACCCACAACTTCTGAAAGTAAACAAAGACCAAGAGTGGAATAAGAGGCATGTAATAATCGCCTCAACATTCTGCTCTTGAGACTCAATAGGCCAATGTGTGACAACTTTCATAGGATCCATTCAGTGCTTTGCAAATTATTGTTGCATTGCTGCCTTGAGTCTAAGGAAATAAGGTGGGATATAATATTTTAAATAAATGTTTTCTGCAATATCTGGGCTATAGTGAAACATGGCAGTAAGATTTCAGGCCTGAGGTTGTTGCAGGTGCTAAATTAGCCAGGCTCAAACATTTCAAGGAATGTTACACAGAGGAGTAAATTCCACTACGCTTCACTTTCCCCATCTCTGCTACACTGCAATGGAAAAATAGCTCACAGCACTGAATTGACAGAGATGATTACAATAGACACCAATAAAGCAGAAACCGACAGGAGTTATTACAGTAGATATCCATACAGCTGAGATTGACAAAGTGATTGCTACAGTACACAGTTTGCACTACAGCAATCTAGTTTAAGTGCTGAACATTTGATTAGACAATTATTATGGATTTAACAAAGCTATTCAGATACACGTAGCTATAGAATATTTGAACATCCTTGAGCCTGTGCATATTTAAATATTACTGTTTAAATTCAGTATATAACAAGATTACTTGATGTTACTTAAAATTGTGAACATACATGTGGGAACAATTTAGGGACTCAAAGGGTCTGTGTGAACATCGTGTGGCTTTATATGCCTTTATGCAAAATCTAAAAGCTGCAGATTTAGCTACTGAAATTTTAATCACAACTTCTTCTGCATAGCCTTTGGAGGAAATCCAGTTCTTATCTGATCTCTGCTAGAAATAGGTTGTGGTAGAAAACATTTCCAACTGTAAGAAGAACGCAACAGTCTGTAACAAAGGAAGCCTGGGAAGACACCCAAGGCACCCAGAACTACTAGATCAGAATTTTCTAATCACTTGAGAATGTACTAATATAAGTACACAGAATTCCAGGGTTTGGAGCAATGGGTCCAAGAGCTGTGAAAGTATATTGCAATTGATTATGAAGGCTTTCTCCAGTTTCTGTGTTCACTGGTGGTTCTCTGTCTACAAACCACAGTTTTATCCCACCGTCCTCAGAGTTAAATGGCGCAATTCTTTTATGGCCAAAGTAGGTAGGTTAGGCTGAGAGAGGGAATCTAGCCCAAGGCCACCCAGTAAAGTCTTACACTGTGCAGAACTCTTTGATTCTAATTGTACAGTCTAACCACTACACCATACTGGCTCTCGCTTTAAATATTACCCACTCAACCAGTGCACCAAAAAATTTCCAGAATGGAGTAGAAACAATATTATCTAAAAAGTCAGCTTCTGGCTTATGTCCAACCATACATTTCAAAAACCTAAGAGCACAAAAACCTAAGATTTCTTAAGAAGGGATATTGATTTCTACCAGTTCACCTTTGCCCTCTGAGCTGGTTGCTGAAGGTCTGCTGACTCCCTGGAACAAAATTTCAGGGGGCTTGGTGGGAGCAGGGGAAACTAATGCCATTGCCTTCCTCTGCATGGCAGCCCCAGTCTCCCATCCACATACCCGCCTTGCTTAGCTTCTGAGCTCTGATGAGATCAGGCTAGTCTGGACTATAAGGGCTGCTATTAAGGAACCTTAAGTCCCCTTAAGTCTTTGGAAGACCAGGGCTGGGTGCAGACCATTTAGTTTAAAATCCTGGCATGCTACACCAGTTTGGTGTAGGGGTTAAGAGCGGGTGACTCTAATCTGGAGAACTGGGTTTGAGTCCCCATTCCTCCACATGCAGCTGTTGGGTGACCTTGGTCAGGCACAAGTTCTCTCAGAGCTTTCTCAGCCCCATCTACCTCATAGGGTGTCTGTTGTGGAGAGAGCACGGGAAGGAGATTGTAAGCCACTCTGAGTGAAGGGCGGCATATAAATCCAATCTCCTCACCCTCCTTCTATATATGTTTAGATGCTTTAAAAGGTGTCAGTCTGTTTCAGTAGCTTTTAAAAAATAGTTTCTTGTCTAACCAGCCTGAATTTCAAAACCAGCCATGGATACGATTTGCTTTGTTTTATGTATAAGAAAATCCCTGGCTACCATGAAACCAATTTGTTTTCTCTTCAAAATTCAAAACATTAATATATATTGTCTCCATTTTCTCACCACAGAAGGAAACAATTGGAGCTCACAATTATTTCTGAACAAAGGCCACAGTAGGCAGAGTTTTCAGATTCAGAATGAACCTGCTCTAAAGCCAATAGAAACCTTTTTTTAAAATGCAAGTGAAAGAATAATGCAACCATTTTTGCAAGCCACCAGGAATGCACCTGGAGTAGTACAAAGTAGCTAACAGTGGCTG